TTTGTTGTTCATAGTTTTTTTTTTTAACTTTATATATATATATTGATTTATATATATTTATATATATGTAAATATATATATATATATATATATATATATTGATTTTTCACAGAGAGGAAGAGAGAGGGATAGAGAGTTAGAAACATCGATGAGAGAGAATCATCGATCAGCTGCCTCTTGCACACCCCCTACTGGGGATGTGCCCGCAACCAAGGTACATGCCCTTGACCGGAATCGAACCCGAGACCTTTCAGTCCGCAGGCCAACAGTCTATCCACTGAGCCAAACTGGTTTCGGCTGATTGATTTTATTGATTTGAGAAAAATACCCATATGTTGTTCCACTTATTAATGTTTTCATTGGTTGCTACTTGTATGTGCCCTAACCAAAGATCAAATCTGTAATCTTAGCATATCCGGACGGTGCTCTAACCCAGTATGGTCAGCAAACTCATTAGTTAATAGAGCCAAATATCAACACTACAATTGAAATTTCTTTTGAGAGCCAAATTTTTTAAACTTATACTATATAGTTAGTACACTGTTATTAACTTAATTAGGGTACTCCTAAGCTGGCCTTTGCTAAAAACTCAAGGGGCCAAAGAGCCGCATGTGGCTTGCAAGCCACAGTTTGCCAACCACTGATCTAACGAATGGAGCTTACCCAGCCAGGGCTAGATATCCTTCTTTAAAAAAATAAAAATAAAATAAAAATAGGGATTAAAACGGGGTACTAGATTTCTTAAATAAAATTAATGATTTTTGAATTTGAGATGTCTGTAGAATTTTCATGTGGATCTTTTCAGTGGGAAGTTTAAGGAGTGAATCTGGGAATTAGCTCTGTGTTGGGACTGGGTACTTGAAAGTCATAAGGATTTAGTGAGAGTTAAGAGCATGGAGGCAGATGACATCACCCAGGAAAGTGTGTGGTTAAAGGAGCTGTGCATTTACAGAACTTGGCACATGGGTACTCTAGAATGTTGTAGTAAACGAAGGGTGTCTGTCAAGGGTATAGTTTCATTTCAACCTCATAATAACCCTAAGTTAGTAGTTTAATACAAATGAGAACATTTCAGGCTCAGCGAGGTTAAATGACTTTGGTTCTAAGTGGTCAAAGTGGGATTTCTAGCCCAATCTGTATGGTTTCAAAACCCATTTTTTTTCTTACTGTGTTTTACTTTTTTGTAAGCCACCAGTTTAATATGTTATCATTAGTTTTCTTTATTTACCTCTGTCAGTATCCTGACTTGGGAGGGTTGTGATACGTCCTTTTAAATAACTGGTGTGTGTGAGTGTGTGTGTGTGTATGTGTGTTTCTAATTTCCTCTGCTTCATTCCAAAACACACCTATTAGATTGACTTATCATACTCAATTCTAGTCCAATGCCTAACTTAAAACAACAGATTTTACACAAGTCCTCCACTGGCTACTGGAGAGGCCTGTCCTCCTCAGCGTGGTACTCAGACTCACCATAAAACAACAAGAACTGCTCAGAACTTTTCCATGTTTATCATTCTCATCAGCACATATTCATGTCTTTGGGTGGTGTTTACATGTAGATTTTATTGTGGTCTTGGTGTTCTTTATAAGAATTTCATTTTAATGTTTAAATTACATTTTAATCTTTGGATTTAATTACTCTTATGTTTACTGTTATGTTTTTCTAAAAATGACTTTATCTTTGTGGCGGAAGTAGCCTAAATATCATCTGACCTTAGTTCCATATCTAATATAGGGGTTTTTTGTCTTCTCTTACTAATGTGATGAGTCAGCCTTCGCTCCTACATTTTCCAATAAGGATCCTTTTAATGAGGGGAGGGGAGGAGAGCAATTCTAGTTGTTAGAAACTTGAAATTAGAGCTTTTAATATTGAGTCAAGATCCTTCTTTTAACATCTATTTGATTCCCAGGACCTGCCTTACCGTAGGAACAACAGAGAAGTCAGTCCTTCCTCCTTTGCCTCATGAAGATCCATCCACTTAACTGCCACTTGTCCAAAACAAACCATCCCCACACGCCTCGATATTTTGAATCTTTAGACACTTATTGTGTACAAAGGGTTAAAGATAGCTTAGTCTCTCCATAGAGACTTAAGTGAAATAATATTGTTTGCTTGGGCCTTTTCTCCTATGACAAGTCTTAAACTTTCTCCTCTGAGGATTGGAGTTTTGTTAGTGCCCTATCTTAAAACATGGGGCCCAGAGCAGAACATACACCCTGCAGGGGAGCAGTGCAAAGTTATTCCTTTGATTAGTACTCTATGCATGGTTTTGTGTTTTTTTTTTAAGAATAGTTTATTGATTTTTAGAGAGGAAGGAAGAGGGACAAAGAGAGAAAAACATCTGTGAGAGCACAGTATCAATTGGCTATCTCCTGCACGCCTCCTACCAGGGATCAAGTCTGCAACCCGGACATGTGCTCTTGACCAGGAATAAAACCCACAACCTCCTGGTGCAGGGACGACGCCCAACCAACTGAACCACTGCAGCCAGGGCTATGCTTAGATCTTAAAAGTCTGATATTGCAGCAGCCATGTTATATTTTATATTCATTCATTTAATACCCAGATATATTTTTAATGTAGGTGGTAGTTAAGCTAACTCTCCCCTGTCATCTATTCTGCAATTTATTTTCTTTGATCTAATTATAGAACTTTCTATTTTTCCTAGTTATATTTCATCTTCATTTTGACCCATCATTTTATCCAATTATAATCATGTTATCTAGTGGGTTGTTAACTATGTTTCCCAGTTTTGGGCATCTGGAAATTTTGAAGCATACTTTCCATGTCTTCTGTTCAAGTTCTTTTAATTTGTATTGTTTGAAGTATTACAAATAGTGATACATATGTCTCCTTTTTTCCCCCCATTGACCTTCCCCAGGCCTCTCCCCTCTCCTACCCCCAGGACATGCCCTCACTTGCCCGCCTCCTCCCTACCCCCAAGTGTCTTGCATCCATTGGTTATGCCCATCTGCATGCATACAAGTCCTTCGGTTGTTCTCTTACACTCCCTCCCCCTCCAACCTCCCCTGCCTTCCTGCTATAGTTTGGCAGTCTGTTCAATGCTTCTTTGCCTCTGTATCTATTTTTCCCATTTCTTTCCTTTAAAAAATCTTGCCTCTGCAAACTAGAAATAAATATATAATAACAAAAAATGTTTTGAGTCCCAATTTCAATGTCCAACAGTTCTGAGTCCCTATTTCAATGTCAAACAGTTCCTTATGTGTACATGTCAGCAATAATATCTGGATGGTGGGCACCTGGTGGCAATGCAGGCCCGACCCTCTCTGGTTTGGTCCTAGGCAGCCTGCAGCGATGCACAGCTGCTGTCTGCTAGCATGACAAGGCATCGTCAGCGTCTTTCATCTCTGGACTATTTCTCCTCTTGTCTTCCTGGTTGGAGAAGGCCTGTCAATTCCTCTCTGTTGAGAGGAATCCACCTGGTCTTGGAGTTTTCTGAAAATATACAAACATATTCTCGACCAAAAGTTAATAAAGGAATCTTTTCTATGTAGTTGATTTGGGATCCTTTTTATTTTTGCCCAAGTGATTTTCCTTTGTCTTATTTAGACACCATGTGTGTTTTCCATGGGTTTCTTGCTGTTAGCATTACACTGTTCAAGTTCTTTATAAACATCATGAAAACTGAGACTTGCCAGTATATCCCCCAAGCTAACCAGTGCTACTGACAAGTGGTTCTGTGACTCATTATTCTGTTATCCATCTACATCTCTTCGTTATATCTGCAAAGATCTCATTTGTACATTCAACAGATTTTTATTTAGCACGTACCATGTGCAAGAAAAGAAGGTGCGAGAGATAGAGTGAAGACAGCAGTTCCTGTTTTGTGGAGCTAACAATCTAGAAATAGCAGGAAATATCTTGTTAAATGTTCTGCAGAAGATAGGTTATACATTTCTCTATGATATTATCCTTATCGGTACATATCAGAAAAGGGAATAATGAAGCATTACTTTTGCAGAGTTTATATTGGCTACTAATGATTTGTTACATGAAAATGGCATTCATTATTTTCTTCTTCACCTTTAATAGTCTCACAGTAATTTTGAGCTTTGGAAGTCTTTGGAGTTCATTGATGTACTTTCTTTTGCCTATGTCTTTTACAGCCCTCACACCCCAGACCCCCACATTATCCGAGTCCTTTTTTATTTTTCAGTAAACAGTTATGAAGAATTTCTGACCAACTTTAGCCATTTTCTCTTCTAAATCTTTGTCGCTCAGATTTTATTTATATTTTATATTTTGAAATGATCTTTCCTAAGGAAAATAGCTGGCTAGCCTCGGGTTTCCTTCCCTTTCCTCCTTCCTCCCTCCCCCACTCCCTTTCCCTCCTTTTCCTTTCTAACTCTTAAATCACTTTCTCAAGGATCATGATCCTTTTCTCCTTTTCACTTAAGCTACTTATTTCTTTTTAACTCTCCAGATGAGCATCAAACTGCAAATTTTTATCTGTATTCTGAGGTATTAAACTGTCAAAGGGCAAGTTTTTTTTTTATTAGGGTGATACAAAGATCCTATGTCTTCATAGTTCATAGATAGAAGATAGCTCGCCTTCTTCTTTGCAAGTGCAGGTTCTTGCTGTCAGTCAGTTGTCATCCATATTCTTCCTCTGGCAGATTTCTACAACTATATCATTTCTACCTAGTTTTCTTTCCCTTTAGTTCAATATCCTCCACTTTAGGGCCTTATTCAAATTCTGGGGATTTTCACATAGATATTTATTTTCTTAAACAATTGTGAGAATTCCCTGCCTTTTTCTATGGATCTGTCTCTGGAACAGCAGATTTCCTATAGAAGTCATAGTCTATTGTTACTTATTATTATCCCATCTCACCAACTCTTGGTGATTTCCATGAGATTTTATTTATCTCCTTGTTCTTTTTTACTATGGCTACTTTTAGGTATAGTGTCAAACACACTAATGTTCATTGAGTAATATTTATGATTAATCTCAAGAAGTGTTTGCCTTCTTTTTTAGGCTGTGAGGATATCATTGCTGAGAGCATCTCATTAGATACCTTAATTGCCATCCTCAAGTGGAGCTCTCATCCATATGGCTCTAAATGGGTGCACCGACAAGCTTTACATTTCCTCTGTGAGGAATTTTCCCAGGTCATGACATCGGATGTTTTTTATGAGCTCAGCAAAGACCATCTACTTACTGCTATCCAGTCTGACTACCTACAGGTAACCATTTATACACCTCTCAGATTCATTGTCATTCATATGTGCACCAAGAACCCATCTGCACTCTGTTGTTCTCCCATCTGGGGAGATCACCCTACCCAGGAATGCCCTCTTCACGTTTGTACAAAAAGCCTATGGCACTCTGGCCCTTCATGCACTCTGACAGCATGTGAGCCGTTCTGGGCTCCTGACTAACCAGCCAAAGGGGTTGAGGCAGTAGGCAGGGTCAGAAGCACATCCCAACAGTGATTTTCTTGACTTCCACAAATAGTTAATACACTGTACATATACAGTTTCTTATTTTTGGTGGAGTGTGAAATATTTAGGCTGTAGACAGTAGTTTAAGCTGCACAAAGTAGTAGTAATTTTTGATCTACTCAAATACTCATAAAAACTATATATGTGTACTACCAAAGTATAATAATGCTTTCAACTACTTATTTTTAATCCAAAACAAATTTTTAGCAAATTCTGTGTTCTTGACTTACATATCTATCTATAATTTGGTAACTAAAACTAACAGATTTAAAATATTGCAAAAGTATTTTTAGGTATGTTCAAGCCTTATTTTCTTTTGCATTGGTTGTATAAATATGATGCAGAAAATTGTACAACAGTTTTAAAAGTTACAAAGACAAAAACCCATTAAGCCACTTACTTTTTATAGTTTTACTAGAGAAATTATAAAATGCTTTCATCTCAGAAGTACGGTGAAAAATTAAGTCATTTAGTATCTGTGCTCTGATTGCAGCACAAATGTTGTCATGTTGGATTTGACTTACTAAGATCTGTGTTTATTAACCTTGTGTTACTGTCTTGTCCAGACTGCATGCATTTGTCAGTTCTCAGATTATTATCTTTAGAAGCTTTGTGTTTCTTCTTAGAAAAACCTTGGAGAGCAGCCTAGATTTGATTTAATATTTTAGATAAAATATGAAGAAATGAGGGGCACTTTGGCATTTCACAAATTGTGCTTAAAGGGTCTTAAAATCAGTAGAATATTTTATGAGGATTGTTCCTGCAAGAGATAGTAGCCACACTGTATCCTTAATTCTTTAATTTTTATTTCTTTATCTCCATCTTGTCCCAAAAAGAATTTGAAGCAGCTGTATAAAGACCATATAGTAAGATAGAATAAATTTAAAATAGGTGAAGAAAACAAGATAAAGAAAAAATAAAGATGGAAATAAGAATAAAAAATTTAGTTGGAGCTGAGAATGAGATTACTGGGCAAAACCCATGTAATGAATGCAATCTTTGTATTTGCTATTGACGGGCAAAAAGTTTAACTGGAACATTTCAGACAGCCAATGTAAAGAATGAAATGTGATAGGCAAGTTGCATATTGTATTTACTTTATGACCTAGGAGAAGTCCTTAATGAATTTAATCATTTATCTAACTTCACCAAAATAAGTATAAACCATTTTTTTATTATAGGCAAGTGAACAAGATATCCTTAAATATCTGATTAAATGGGGTGAGCACCAGCTGATGAAAAGAATAGCAGACAGAGGTAAGCTTGCATTGATTTTCTCAAAAGCTTTACTGACAGGATGCTACATGTCAGTCTTGAAAATAACCACTGTTGCCTAGAAAAAAAAAATTTTTTTTTTTACATTTGGCAAAATTCTTTAGTGGAGAAGAGGGTATACTTTGTTAGAAATAAATAATGCCACAAACTTATATTTTACAGCTTTAAAAGGATACTTTTTTTAATAATTGATTTTTAGAGAGGAAGAGAGAGAGAGAGAAACAACAGTTTGTTATTCTACTCATCCATGCATTCATTGGCTGATTCTTGTATATGCTTTGACTGGGGATTAAACCCATAATCTTAGCATATCTGAACAATGTTCTAACCCAGTGGTCTGTAAACTCATTAGTCAACAGAGCCAAATTTTTTTAACTTAAACTATATAGGTAGGCACATTGTTATTAACTTAATTAAGGTACTCATAAGCTGGCCTTTGCTAAAAACTCAAGGAGTCAAAGAGCCACATGTGGCTCATGAGCCAGTTTGCTGACCACTGATCTAACCAGTTGAGCTATCTGGCCAGGGCAGAATACTTTTAATGTTATCTTTCTATGTGCTTAATATTAAACGTTGACTGATTTACAGTAGTGTAGTAGAAATGAAATAATTAAAGTATTATAATGCATATTGTTGATGAAAATGTTCTGGAATTAAAGAGTGGAGATGGGTGCACAAAGTAAATTTATTAAAAAACCAGTCTTCTAAAATGGTGAGTTTTATGTTATGTGAATATTACCTCAATAAAAAAATATATATGACTACCCAAAAACATATTTGCTATTTATTTTTAAATTTGTGGAAGGTAAGGGAGAAATAATAATTTTGAGTGGCCTCCAATTGGGACTACTTTAGAAAAGATGGAAGCATCATATGAAAGAGGTGAGCTTTCAACTTTGGAAGCTGATTTCTTTAATTTATATCTAGGATTAGTCTACCCCCCTGTACTCCTCTCTTCATAGGATATTGTATTCCTATGTAACAAAAAATTTTAATTAGAAAAATTAAATACAATCTTTTCTTTCCTGTCATTTTTAACAGTTTATGTAGATATTATAGGCCCAGTGCACAGAATTCATGCACTTGGGGTGGGGTGTTTCTCAGCTAGGCCTGTGCCCTCTCACAGTCTAGGAGCCCTCCAGGATGGGAGGTGATCGCGATCAGGGAAGGCAATGTCCCCATCACACTTCTGCTGCTGCCACTGCTGGCAGTGCAAGCCTCAGTCAGCCCTGTTTACCTGAGCCTCAGGTATCCTGGGTTACTGGGAACTGCCATCTGTGGCTTGCCTGTGTCTTGGGCTGGCCCTGGGCGACTGGGCAGCTGACATCCAAGGCTTGCCTGTGCCTCAGGCTGGCCCTGGACACATGGGGGGTTGAGGGGATTGGGGGACGTCAGAGGCAGGCACACAGAGTGGCTGGACCCACCTGGGGGCAGGCCTGGCTGTGCCGCACACTCGCCGCCCCGGCAGTGCTGAGTAGACTGGTCACCACCATCTTGTGGCTATCAATGCCACCATCTTTGAGGGCCTGACAGGCAATTTGCATATTCCCTCCTTATTGGCTATGGATACTGCCATCTTTTGTGAGGGTGTGATAGTCAATTAGCATATTCCATCTTTATTGGATAGGATAACTTACAACAAAGTTCAACACTTTAAAGTGTTCAAGTCAGTAATTTTTAGTTTTAAGTTTATAGAGTTTTTTTTGCCACATTTTTAAAAAATATATTTTATTGATTTTTTACAGAGAGGAAGGGAGAGAGATAGAGAGCTAGAAACGTCAATGAGAGAGAAACATCGACTAGCTGCCTCCTGCACATCCCCCACCAGGGATGTGCCCGCAACCAATGTACATGCCCTTGACCGGAATCGAACCTGGGACCCTTCAGTCCGCAGACCAACGCTCTACCACTGAGCCAAACCAGTTTCGACCCGCATTTTTTAATATATAAAAATATCAAGCTAGCCTGTCTTTAAACCATTTTATATGTCTCTTTAATACACTACTACTCAAGTACTAGGGAACAAAAGCAGCCTTCCCATTTGATTTCATTTCTTTCTCTGTGGCCTGCAAAAGCCTTTAGAAATTCAAAGATTTGAAATTTTTAATAAAATAAACATTACTATTAATTTGGAACATTTTTGTAATGCCAGTCAGTATACAGTCTTTCCCCCTTACTTGTAGATTGTGTATTTGCACTCACTTGTTAAAATATATTTGCATTCCCCAAATCAGTACTCTTAACACTTTCATGGGCATTTGCAGACATGTGCCGAGTGACAAAATATTTGAGTCTCCTGGTGCATATGTTCTCTTTAATGTGAAACAAGGTGATGCTTGGCTTTCTTGTTTCTGTTCTCATATTGTAAACATGTCCTTTCATGGTGTATTTAGTGCCATATTTTTCAAATTCTTATGAGGTTTGGGGGGTAATCTCACTGTTTAAAATGGCCTCCCAGTGTAATGACTAGTGCTGTCTAATGCTCCTAAGCACACAAAGGCTGTGAAGTGCCTCACAGAGATAATGTGTGTTAGATAAGCTTTGTTCAGGTATAAGTTATCTATTGGCCATGAGTTCAGTGTTAATGAATCAACATATGTATTACTAAGGTTTCTTTAAACAGAAATATACATAAGACAAACTTACTGCCTTCCTTCCCCTGTCTTAATCAGTTGGCAAAAACGTGACCAGAGGCTCATTGGAACCTACCCCTGTGTTTCCCTTAGGAGCAGTGATTCAGTGTTCACAGCGGCTTTATAAAACACTAGAGGCCCAGTGCATGAAATTCATGCATGGGCGGGGTGTTCCTCAGCCCAGCCTGCACCCTCTCCAATCTGGGACCCCTCGAGGGATGTCTGGTTGCCCATTTAGGCCTGATCAGGTAGGATCGGGCCTAAATGGGCAGTCAGACATCCCTCTCACAATCCAGGACTGCTGACTCCCAACTATCGATACTTGCCTGCCTGCCTTATGATTGCCCCTTAGTGCTTCTATCTACCAGCCTGATCACCTCTAAGCACTCCCCTGCCAGCCTGATTGATGCCTAACTGCTTCCCTGCCAGCCTGATTGCCCCTAACTGCCCTCCCCTGCAGGCCTGGTCACCCTTAACTTCCCTTCCCTGCAGGCTTGGTTCCCCCCAACTGCCCTTCCCTGCAGGCCCAGTTGCACCCAACTTCTCTCCTCTGCTGTCCTGGTCACCCCTAACTACCCTTCCCTGCAGGCTTGATTGCCCCCAACTGCCCTCCCTTGCCAGCCATCTTGTGATGAAGCAAGGTCGGCCATCTTGCGGCAACATTGCGTGATGCCACCTAGGCTTTTATTATATAGGAGATAGATAGCCAGATAGATAGATAGATAGATAGATAGATAGATAGATAGATAGATAGATTTTTTTATTATATAGGAGATAGATAGAGAGGGAGAAAGAGAGAAACTAGAGGCCCAATGCATGAAATTTGTGCACTCAGAGGGAGCCCCTCAGCCCAGCCTGTGCTCTTTGCTTGCAGTCTGGGATCCCTTGCTCCTTACTGCCTGCCTACAGTGCTCTCCACCTATGAACCTGTCTTCTACATTGAGCATCTACCCACTGGTGGTCAATATGTGTCTTAGCAACTGGTCATTCTGCCATTCAGTCGATTTGCATATTAGGGTTTTATTATATAGGACTCGAGGCCAGATGCATGAAACACGTGCAAGAATACGCCTTCCTTCCCCTGGCTGCCAGCACCGGCTTTCCTCTGGCACCCAGGAACCTGGCTTCCCTCCAGCCACCCACAGGCTCCTGGGACCAGGGCTTCCCTAGCAGCCCCAGCTTCATCTGGACGGTCATCCAGAAGGATGTCTGGTCTAATTAGCATATTTTTATTAACATAGATAGTTGGCCAAGTAACAAGAATTGGGTGTATGTCATGTTACATAATCATGATAGCCATAGGTTTTTGTTTGTTTGCATTGACATAAGATTGGTAATGCCATATTTATATGGGGCAGATAATGACCTTCTTGATAAAATTCCCTTAAAGTATAATAGTAGCTTTTAGCCTTGGCCAGGTTTGTTGGAGCGTTGTCCCATACACTTGAAGGTTGCGGGTTCAATTGAGGCACTTAGTGATCAATGTTTCTCTCTTCCTCCTTTTCTCTCTCTCAAGTCAATTAAAAACATATCCTTGAGCAAGGGTTAAAAAAAAATAGTTTTCTGATTGGGTTAGAATGTCAGGGATAAGACATTCTTTTACAGGGATAAGAAGGAAGCTAAGCAAACTTTATTTCAGTCACCCTCAGAGATTAGGGTTCTGACCTTACCTGTTACATATTTGTAAGTTTAAGATTTCATTTGAAAACACTACTAAAGAACAAAAAACCTTTTTCACACCTTGCAGCAATTTTATTGCGCACAACTGCAGTAAAACTTCTCAAAAACAATCTCTACCTACCTAGCACATGATTTAAGGGAAATACCAATTTGTCTACAGACTTTGCAAAATATCTGGCATTTATATCAGTGAACAATAAAGATCCCTTTAAAAAAAAAAATACACCCCCCAGATTAAACACATGATTAAAGATTCCCAACATTTATGTAAATTTTTTCCACCTCAGTATGGTTAGCATGTAAATCTTTCTCCTTCTCTAATACCCAATAAAGAACACCTTTATTCTCAGATCTGGACAATGGAAATATACATGTCAGAGATTAATGTCAGAGTATATGCAGGAACATTCCCATTTTATGGAAATTTGAAAGACTAGCAAAGATACTTAGAGTGTACCTTATTTTGCTGCCAGGAGATTCATATCTTGTTAAGTTGCTTTTATGTAAATAGTAGCCTAATGAGTGTACCATTAATCTACAGTGACCACAAAAAGCATTTGCTCTACAGTGTCCTTATTCTACTAAAATCTGAGAAAGCTTAAGAAAAAGCCCTCGGTCAAACTAGATTTTAATAGATTATCTCTTTTCCTTTGAGTTAGTGTACAGAAAAAAAATCCACTATTCGATAGTGCAGGAAAATCATAAAAGAATGTTATTGTACTGTTGACACCAGGCTTTTTCTGTCAGAACATTTTTATTAACTACACTTCATAAAACATAAACATAATTTGCCTTGCTAGTGTGACTCAGCAGTTTAGCGTCATCCCAGGAACCAAGAGGTCACTGGTTTAATTCCTGGACAGGGCACATGCCTGGGTTTTGGGCTCAATCCCCAGTGGAGGCCAGTCGATGATGTTCCTCTCTCAGATCAGTGACGTTTCTCTATCATCAATGTTTTTCTCTCTCTCCTCCTCCTCCTCCCTTCCTCTCTAAAAATCAATAAAAACATTTTTAAAAATATGTTATAACCCTTATTAAAGCAGGTGTACTTAAGTATAAATAATGGTACTGAAAATATATTAGAAAAGAAAGCCTTTTTCTGAAAATTTGGATTTCGTTGGAGACTTCATTTTCTGTCTCACAGAGCCAAACTTACTGAGTGGCACTGCTCATAGTGTGAACAAAAGAGGTGTGAAAAGACGGGACCTGGACATTGAAGAGCTTCGAGAGATCCTTTCCTCTCTCTTACCTTTTGTTCGCGTTGAACACATCTTACCTATAAACAGTGAAGTCCTAAGTGATGCAGTAAGTGTCTATCTTCATTTATCCCTTTCATGAAAAGAAAATGCACTAAAATGTATAGGCCTATGTTTGGTTATCATTGTAAATAATTCTACTAACAGAGTATTGTGAAACTGAATTCATTGAAGTCAAGAGACAGATGTCTGTTTTGTACTATATTATATCTATCCCCCGGTCCCCCATACCTGGCACATGGCACAATGGTGAATGAAAGTTGAAAGCACTTTTGCAAAACGATAGTTTCTTAGGGTTTAATTCAGCATTTATCAGTGTAGGTCAAGTATTTTCTTATTAAAAAAGGAAAGGGTAGAAATTACTTTTGGGAGAGACTCTTTAAGAACAGGAATAAATTAGAAAACAGGAGGAAAGGAGAATGAATGGTTCAATGTAAAAAGGCTGAATGAATCTTATAATGATATTTCAGTTAAAAATTAATGGAGCTGATTTGTTAATTTTATTTTTTAAGTGAATTTTTAAACTAATAGGATTCAGATGAATGGATGGGAAGAGAAATATTATAAATATTAGTTCCTCATACATTGGTTTATAACTTTAATGTAATGCTGTAAACATAATAATTCCCTAAAAAGAACATAATTAAAGATGGATAACTCTTCCAGATTGTAAATCACATTTTAAAAGGCTAATATATAATTTATGATGCTAGCATAATAGGCAAGACAAAATAGCCTAGAAAAAGATCCTAATTAATAAAAGAATTAAACATAATAAATGAGCTATCACACATAGTGTGGTGCTAGATGAACTGATGAATGGGGAAGGGAGGAAATTTGTTTAAACTTAAACCCTCATTTCATTTGCACAGAAAATTAATTCCTATTAGATTGAAGAATTAAATATTAAATTGAAACATGGAAAACTAGAAGAAAAAAATATTTATGGAATCTCTGATTAGAAAAATGTGCAGTCTCATTAGTAATCACATACCCCAAAGAAAGCAAAATAAAACAGTAAGTTATCATTTTTTCACCTATTAGGTCAGTGATTTTTGAAATAATATTACTATCCCATAGGAGAAGTATAGCTGATACATTGATTACATTGTCATTAAGTACTTGGAATTAGTCTAACTATCCAAGAACAGGGAAAATAAATAAATTATAATATAATTACTCAGCAGAATATTTTGCTGTCCTGAATAGTGATCATATTTACTAATGGTACATCATGGAAAATGCTGATAATGGAATATAATTTTAGAAAGAAGGATATAAAATGTGTATTTTATGTATTCTAGAATGCATTTATGTTAAAATTCACCTGAAAAAAGGAAGGAAATATAGCAACAATATTATAGTTGCAATAAATTAGAGTGAGGAGTTTTTTCTCTAAATATCACCTACCGCTAATTTTATTAGTTAAAAATAATTTTAACTAATGCAGCAATTAGATGTTTATTATGTTTAACAAGAATAAGATTGGAGAAACAATGTTCTATTTTTTTTTTTTTTTAAATCTGAGACTCAAAAGCAAGTTGAATCCTGAATTTAACTTAGAAAAATATTGTAGAACTTTGGTTTAGTAGACTTAGAAAAAATTTATTGATACTTTTAATTCCATGGCTGTCACATAAGTCCCCAGTAAAAGTTTGGTAATAATAGCTGTTAAACAGAAGTCCTAAGCACTGTACTAAACCTATTTTATCCTGGCAGCCACTTTATGAGCTGTGGGCACTTGTTCCATGTTCTCCTAGCATAGATGAGGAAACAACAGGCTACCACGGTGAGCTGGGTGATGTCCCATCTCCAGGCCCATCTAGGAGCTCCCAAAGTGAGGCCCAGGGGAAAGGAAATGTCATGGTCACAGGTGGTTAAAGGGAAGGAGGGTTAAGGTTTGAGCCAAGTCTGCCTTCCTCTGGAGTCACTACCCCTCAGCACCATGTATAACTGCCTAGATCCTTGTATTGTAGATACTAGGCCCTCTGGTTCTTGATTTGTCTTGGGGGTGGAAAGTGAGTTGGGGATGGAATCAGTTCTTAGATGAGTAAGAAAAATAATAATAATTGGTTTTATTCAGAATTCTGAAAGTTTAACTCATTACATTTTTAATTATTATTAGCTCTTGTTTTAAAAACCTCATTTCTCTATTTAGAGAAAAAATTGGAAATTATACTGCCATTTATTTCCAAGTCCTTTAAATATTATTAAACATTTGAAGTATTTTTACATTTTACATACATTCCTAAATTTTTATACAAATGGTAGTTTGAACATTTTGATTTGTAGGTATAATTATTTTATGTTAGTATTATAGTGTTATACAAATATATTTATAAAAAATAATTTTTTTCAAGATGAAAAGAGGCTTGATCAGTACTCCTCCATCAGATATGCTTCCTACATCAGAAGGTGGAAAGTCAAATGCCTGGTTACGGCAAAAAAATGCTGGAATCTATGTTCGTCCTCGACTCTTCTCTCCCTATGTGGAGGAAGCAAAGGTAATGAAAAAGATTTTCAGACATTAGGTCACTGTACTATAAACTGTAAGCACAAAGATATTTATCGTGGCATTATATAAATATTTGGAAATGGCCTAAATGTCCAGTAATCGGAAAGTAAACATAAATTCTAGTTTGACCGCTCAGTAGAATACTTTTCTGAAATGTTTAATTATCAAGCATATTTTTATAATTTAGGTCATGTTAAATTGCATTTTACATTTTTCTCATTTTTGTTTTCTTGTAAAATGTGAACTTGAAAAGAAAGTTTTATTTTATTGAAATAGTTGTCAGTATTTTGTGACCTTCAGCATGGGAAAATGTCCTGAAAGATATTGCACACGTTCTGTCTTCCTTCATAAAGTAAAGAATTGCCATCATTTCTGTAACACATTTCTGTAACACATTGCAGCTGACTGTTGGAATTTGTGTTTAGTTTTATAATAAGTACGCATACTAAGAAAACATTTCAGGTCTATTAAGCAAATAGTTGGCATTATGACTATTATAACAATTCTTCTAGAAAATATGGTAATGTAAAAATGAAACACTATAATTTTTATTAGATGTGTTCAGCCAGAAGAATTTTGGAGTGGCCTTTTGAGGAACAGCCAGTTTTTGAAAGTCAGAAATTACCATTAAGTTTTATGAAATAAAGTAAGAGGCAAACAATGTGTGTTTGTATATAGAATTATTTATCTTGTTTTTTTTTTTTTTTTATCTGAGTTCCTAGTTTAAGATACATGAAGATATTTGTGAGTTTATTTTGTTGTTTAGGTTAATAATCTACCTCTTTTTGACTGACTGGCATTTCAAATAATTCTAAACGGAGAGCAAAAGCAGAATGGTGTGCCTGGTCTTTTTAAAATAAATGCAATATTCAGATTCACTGAAGCAACTGAGGCCTTTACAAAGGGTTGAATCTGAAGATAAATGGTCTATAATAAACTAAACCTACCCTCCATTCTGTTTTGTCTCAAAAAGTAAGCTCATCACTAGTCCTCCTGGGACTTTCCTGTTTCTCAGAAGGCTGTACCCATATATAAGTAGATAATTGTCCCAATAAAAGTAGAAAATGTTTATATATTATATCATTTTGATCGTTCTGATCAGCTACCTCCTGCACGTCCCCTAATGGAGATCAAGCCTGCAACCCAGGCATGTGCCCTTGACCAGAATTGACCTGGGATCCTTCAGTCTGCAGGCTGATGCTCTATTCACAGTGCCAAAGCAGTTAGGGCTAAACTTATTTAATTTAATGTCACTCTTTAATATTTTGTCTTTTGAGCACTTTTTTAAACTTGATTTTTAAAGAGAAAGGAAGAGAAAGGGAGAAAGAAACATTGATGTGAGAACAGAACATTGATCACCTGCCTCCTGTACACCCCTATGGGAGATCAAACCCAAAACCCAGGCATGTGCCCTCACCGGGAACCAGCAAACTTTTTGGTGCATGGGACAATGACTAGCCAACTGATCATGAGCCATGGCTTCTTTTTTGATCTGATGTTTAGCCCATGTATACATGTTTTATCCTTCCTATAAATTTCAAATACTTCAATTGAAACTTCAGAAGTGGTTTTTTGTGTGTGTTTTTTTCAGAGATGCTCTAAAAGATCCTTTAAAAATTAAAGAGTTAGGGGTACTTTCTTCTTTCACCAATAATTGTAAACTTCATACACTAGAAGCAATAAAGTAATTCCCTTTTTATATGATGAAAGTAATAATATATCTCCGAATGTGATTTAACAGAGATGAAGGGTTTACTAATTCTGTTAATACTGAATTGTTCTTTCAGTCAGTGCTAGATGAGATGATGGTGGAACAAACAGATCTTGTGCGTTTACGAATGGTTAGAATGTCCAATGTGCCAGACACACTTTACATGGTCAACAATGCCGTACCACAGTGCTGTCACATGATCAGCCACCAGCAGATCAGCAGTAACCAATCAAGCCCTCCTTCGGTGGTAGCCAATGAGATTCCAGGTAAGGCCGTAACCTCTTTTAGGCACTTATACTCAAACTAGAGGTCTAGTGCACGAAATTTGTGCACTGGTAGGGCCCCTAATGGCTGCTGGCTGCTAGCCAGTACTCCCTCTCTTTCCCCAGCTGGCCCCATCCCCTGGTCATACTCAGGGTTGAGGGGACAATTTGCATACTATGCTCTTATTATATAGGATAATCTGATCTTTTGTAATCCTTTTACATATGGTAATTCTCTCCTGATCCAATACCCAGTCTGCATTATTCTCTTCAAAGTATAAATACTGCCCTGGCTGGTTTTGCTCAGCAATTAGAGCAGCAGCCCTCAGACCCAAAGATCGCAGGTTCAGTTCCCGGCCAAGGGCATGTACCTCAGTTGCAGGTTCATCCCAGTTCCTGTCCGGGAACCTGTCTGAGGCAGCCAACCAGTCAATGTGTCTCTCTCATGTCAGTGTTTTTCTTTCTTCCCCCCTTCCCTCCTTCCCATCTCTCTAAAAAATCAATGGAAAAGATATCCTCAGGTGAGGGTTTAAAAAAAGAAAGAATACATACTTAAAGGCTAAGTTTTTTGTTTTGAATTTTATTTTATAGTATTAGGGTTTCTCAACCTTGGTCTTCTTAACAATTAGGGCTAGATAATTCTTTGTTATGGGCTGTCCTGTGCATTGTGGGGTGTTTGGCAGCATCTCTACCCTGGACTCACTAGATGCCAGTAGTGAGCACACATGTACACATATCCCTTTGTAAACTTTAGAAAACATTTTTTTGTTTCTAAATATTGCTAAATATACACTGTGGGGCAAAACCACCACCTCCTGAGACCCACTGATTTACAGGAATTTAGGTATTTCATCACTGTAGGTATTTCTCACATTATAAGCCCCATTGGGAATAGCATTATAAACTTATGTCTTTGAGTCTGCATATGTCCCCCACAAATGTGATCACCATTGGCTTACTGAAGATCCAAGATCTGGTCTCCTGTGAATTTTATTGTAGTGTAGGCTTATGTCATATAATTCTGAGGAAAGTGGCCATTGATAGAGTTATAACTGTCAATGTCCAAAAACTTCTGAACATCAGTTAATGTTTACTTTAACAAAGGGCCCTAAGGTCATCTTCTAATATAAGGAAATCAACAGCACAGATAGGGTAATAAATTTATAACTCTTGCCAATTACTATTGCAAGATTTATTAAAAACCAGTGTACTATAGCATTATTGGAAATGGCACCATTCATTTTCTGCTTGCAAATGTTAATTTCAATTAAGGATAAATAAAAGACAATACAACTTTTTAAAAATGGTTTTATTGATTTGTTTGTTTGTTTTAGAGAAAGGGAGAGGGATAGAGACATAGGAACATGAATGAGAGAGAAACATCATTAATCAGCTGCTTCCTCCACACTCCTTACTGGGGATCAAACCTGAAACCTGGCTTGTGTCCTAACCAGGAATCAAACTGTGACCTCTTGGTTCCTGAGTTGACACTCAACCGCTGAACCAAACCAGCCTAGCCATAATGACAATATTTAAAAAAAAAAAATAATAATAATAATAATATATATATATATATATATATATATATATATATATATTATTGATTTCAGAGAGAGAGGATAAAAAAACAACAACACATAAATGATGAGAGAGAATCATTGATTGGGTGCCTCCTGCACATTATTGGGGATTGAACCTACAACCTGGGCATGTGCCCCTAACCGGAGTTGAACTCAGGTCCCTTCAGTCCACAGGCTGCTCTACCCACAGAGCCAAACCAGCTAGGGCCATAATGACAAATTTTAATTAAGCACATACATTTTGTTCTGGGACTAAAATCTGATCTGTGGTTACCTTTTCAGGTTTGTCCACTACATGTTTAAAGTATACATTGGATTACAGTATGAAGAGAGAGATTTCTATACCTGATTTGTGCAGATTTTGAAACTTTCGTAATTAGCCCTGTTTTTATCAACTTGAATTAATACTTGAATAACAACATAATTTAATCTTAGAACTGAATCTCAAAAGCCCAAACGTATTCACAATTAAATATGCTCAGAAAAATAAGACTTGTCTTTTGTTTAACTATTTTCTGTTGTTTAATCCTATTGTGGTGGTATCCTGATTCTAACTTGCTCACCATACTCTAATGAAAGGCTTTCTAGCTTATTGGCTCTTATCCTGGCTCTGCCACTTCATTTATATCACTTTGGATTACACTTTATCTACTTCCCTATGCATTAATTTTCTTATCTGTAAAATGGGGTATCTCCTTTCTAGGGTTATTGTGAAGACATAAGCCAGTACCACGAGCAATGTGCTTAGGGGTTTGCCTGGCACAATGCAGGCACTCAGACAATAGTCAGTTTGGCTAATAATGTCTATGGACCTCGTTTCTGCTTCCCAGCCCTCTTCTGCAGCCTCATTCAGGTTCCTAACCCATGTTCCTGCCTCTAACCTCACTCACTCCCTTTCTGGACTTTACACCAGGGCTTGGCAAAGTTTTTCTCTCAAGTGCCAGATGGTAAACATTATAGGCTTGTGGGTTATGCAGTTTCTGTCACAGCTACTCAACTCTGTTCAACTCTGCTGTTGTAGGCCAAAAGCAGCCATAATACCTAAACAGATGGGCATGGTTGTGTGCCAGTAAAACCTCATTTACAGAAACAGCCAACAAGCCTGATGCAGCCAGCCTACAGGCCCTAGTTGGCCAACTCCTGCTTGACACTACTCTCGGAGTGCACTTGCCTCATTACAGATTTGACCCTGTCAATTCTCCTACACAAGATACAGTTCAAATCCTTCATTGTGACATGCAGGGTCATTCATGATCTGCCCCACCCATCTTTCTAGCCTTCCTTCTTAATGCTCTTCTTGCACATTCTTTGGAATCCTAAGTTCTAGCTGTGCCAATAACTTGTGCCGCACCATGTCTCATTTGTATGTTTGTTTTTTTTAAAATATATTTTATTGATTTTCCACAAAGAGGAAGAGAGAGGGATAGAGAGGGATAGAGAGCCAGAAATGTCGATGAGAGAGAATCATCGATCAGCTGCCTCTTGCACACTCCCCACTGGGGATGTGCCCGCAACCAAGGTACATGCCCTTGACTGGAATTGAACCCGGGACCTTTCAGTCCGCAGGCCGACGCTCTATCCACTGAGCCAAACCAGTGCCGGCTCATTTGTATGTTTCACACACGCCTGGTCCTTCTGCTCAGAAAGCCTTCACTCCCTGTTCTTCACCTGCCTGGTTTTCTCTCATTCATCACTACCCTCAGGGTTTACCTTGTCTAGGCAGCCTTTCCTGCCTGCCTCCAGCTTAGGTGGAGGGTCCCTTCCTCCAAATCCCGTCAGTATCCTTTTGCCTATTTCTCTCCATGACCATTTGTGGCCCTGTACTCTACTGTTTTACTTGGTTTACCTCACTAAAACCATAGTTCTCTGAGGACAGGGAACACGGCTCTGTTCTGTGCATCCTAATACTTGAGTCCAATCCCTAGTGCATAGTCAGGACTTACATGAACAAAAGTAAATATGTTTTTAAAACAGGAAATAGCCCTAGCCTGTGTTTCTCAGTGGTTGGAGCATTGCCCACCCCCTACCCCCCCTTGAAAGGACTTGGGGTTTGAATCCTGGACAAGGGTATACATTGGGGTTGCTGGTTTAATCCCCAGCCCCTGTTAGGACACATGAGGAAGCAGCAATTGATGTCTCACTCACATCAATGTTTCTCTTCCTCTTTCCCTCTCCCTCTCTTCCCCCTCTCTATCCCTTCTATTCTCTAAAACTTAGGGGGAGATCCTCAAGTGAGGATTAACAAAACAAAACAAAAAAACTTAGGAAATATCCTGATATTCAGAAGGGAATTTTAAGTAAAATTGTATTAGGCTGTGAACTAATATAGCTCAGATGCTATTTGGTATTATCAAGAGCTTTTGGGCACAGTGAAATTGTAAAACCTTAAGAAGTAATTAGAAGTAGTCCTGACTGGGTAACTCAGTAGGCTAGAATGTTGTCCCCATACGCCGAAATTGTGGGTTCATTTCCCAGTCAGGGTACATACAGGTATCAACCACATAAGTGGAACAACAAATTAATGTTTCTCTCTTCCTCACTCCCTCTGTAAAATCAATAAATACAATAAAATCAATAAAAATTAAAAATATGTACAGTGCTAAGTTGCCAGAAAATTAAAATATCTGATACAAAACACATGCTTTTTTTGTCTTGTGCCAGTGGATGGTCTTTTATGTAGCTCAGGTATTTGCCTACAAACAGTTTTCCTTCTTCCAGTTCCCCGTCTCCTCACTTTGAAAGACATGGTCAGACGTCTGCAGGAGCTCCGACACACCGAGCAGGTGCAGAGAGCCTACGCGCTCAACTGTGGGGAAGGCGCCACCGTCAGCTACGAAATCCAGATCCGAGTCCTGAGAGAGTTTGGTCTTGCCGATGCTGCTGCAGAGCTCTTGCAGGTGGGAACTCATTGCGCTGTTTCAAATGAGGAGCCAGGTCATTGATTATTCAGGCGGTATTAAAGATGTGGCAGGAGCTCACACAGACGGGTCTTTTCCTGATCCGTGCCTTTCCCCCGGTGTGTTGGCTAACCTTGAGAGGCAGTGTGGAAGGTGCACGGAGCACAGGCTCTGGAATGAGAACTGGGTCATATCATAGCTCTTCTGCTTATCTTCCAGTTAATTGGAGCAGTTACTTAACCACTGTGAGCATCAGCTTCCTTGTGTGTCATGTGGATTGTTGTGAAGATAAGAGGTGCATTATTATAAAGCAACTTGTCTCTTATATGCAATAAACATATAAAGGGTGACTGCCAAAAGTTTGTGGTGTGTATGTCCAACAGAAATGAAAGAAGTAGAAGATTCTGGCCCTTCACTGCTCTCCCTTCCCAGTTTGGTCACTCGAGTCAGGTTTTGGTCACTCTCATACTTAGAGGTCTCCCAGACACCCCTTTTCCCTCTCCTCCCCTGTATAATAAGAAATGTTTTTATAATGGTTCAAACTTATAAAGCACTGGAATCAAGAAATGAGTTGTTTCTTAACTAGCATGAAAACTCCTCCCCCTCCCCCTGCATCCTTACCCAGGGGACATGTTCCAAGATCCTCTGGTGGATGCCTGAAACTGTAGATGGTACCAAGCAAGCCCTGTAAATGCTACGTTTTTCCCTGTGCATATACACTGCTATGATAAAATTAGGCACAGTAAGGGTTTAAAACAATAACTAATAATAAAATAGAACACTTTAACAATATACATTATTGTAATAATAGATGCCCGGTGCATAGATTCATGCACTGGCGGGGTCCCTCAGTGTGCCCTGCTAGGATCATGCCAAAACCGTCATCCAATGCCACCTGCCACTCCGGCCTTCTGCTCTTGCTCATCCTGCCCTGCCGCACCTGCTGCGGGCTTGGGCCCAGTCAGTCCCAACTGGTAGAGGCTCGCGCCGCCACTGCAGTGCTTGCCAACCTTGACCCTGTGTCTGGTGCCCATTGGTCAGCTGAGTGGTGTTCCCATTGTGGGAACACACTGACCACCAGGGGACAGCTCCTGCATTAAGCATTTGCTCTCAGGTCTTTGGTATGCATCACAGTGACCAGTCATTCAGTCATTTGCCATTTGATTGTTTAGGCTTTTATATATATAGGTAAGTTGTGTGAATGTGCTTTCTCTCAAAATATCTTATTGTACTGTCTGTACAGCATGGAGACATTGGGTCAAAGGGATGATTCACATCCCGGGAAGGGTGGGGGGATCATGCAAGACTTCATCATTCCACTCAGGATGGCTCACAATTTAAAAGTTGCATGTGGTTTATTTCTGGAATTTTCTACATAATCTTTTTGAACCTTGGTTTCCTAAGGATAACTGAAACTGGAAAGTGAAACCTCTGACAAGGGGGGACTACTTAGCTTGCTTAGGGCCACTAAATCAGAGCCTAAAATAAAATTTAATTTCATCTAATTGAGTGAATTGTTTTCTTGCCCTAGACTCCAAACCCCTGTCCCCTGAGTCTTAAGAAGGGAACCTGGTATAGTGTTCTTAGGTAACATAGCACGCCACTTATAGAGTATTGATTTTCATTATTTATTATGGTTTCCATCCCCCACAAAGAGAGTCTCATTTTATATTCATTTCTCTTTCCCTTGCCATTCTAAATCATATCTTAAATAATATAAAAGTTTTATATTTTAAGTATTCCCTTATAATGTTATTAAAATATTTATCCAGGTTACCCCTGTATAATAAGGAGTAGTATTTTGTAGTTTTCATTTCAGACTGATAGTGCACATGCATTGTCAGAAAGTTCTAGCAGGATCCTCACCTTGGTGTTTATAGGTCATTTTATTTTTTAGTAAAGACATTTTTGAATTAGGGTTATTTCCTGTTTTTTTGTTTTGTTTTGTTTTGTTTTTTTATTATCACACTAGAGGCCCGGTGCATGATATTTGTGCAGTGGGGGAAGGGGTTCCTCAGCCAGCCTGCGGGGAGTGGGCCTAAGCCAGCAGTCGGACATCCCTCTTGCAGTTCGGGAGCCCTCGCTCCTTACCACCTGCTGTTCGCTGCGCCTTACCGCTCGGCTTGCTGCTCCTTACCACTGCCGCAGAGGCAGGAGAGACTCCTGCCACCATTGAGCACACCAGCCATGAGCCCAGCTTATGGCTAAACGGCACTCCCCCTGTAGGAGCGCACTGACCACCAGGGGGCAGGTCCTGCGTTCAGTGTGCATCATAGTGACCAGTCATTGTGATTGCTCAGCTGTAAAGATCACTTAGGCTTTTGTTATATAGATAATCTTTCATGAGATTACTGGCCTGCTTCCTGAAATAATCAGTGAAGCAGTTCTTTTTGATGGCTGTGTCTGTGCTCGGCTACAGACGCTACACTCTCTCCTTTTGTGCCATTAAGGTAATTTTTTCTTGGAAGCATGTGACCTAGAAAAATGTTATGCCTCTTACTCTTGCTGAATGTGGTTTTCTTAGGTCCTCACTTAAATCTCTTAGCCTGTGAATTTTCATCTATGAAATCTGCTAATCTCCTTTTTTCTCTTTAATCTTTCTTAGAATCCTCACAAGTTCTTTCCTGATGAACGTTTTGGGGATGAAAGTCCGCTCTTGACACTGAGACAGTCTGGGAGATGTCGTGTTAACAGCACCCCCACTGCAGAAACCATGTTTACAGATCTAGACTCTTTTGTGGCCTTCCATCCACCCTTGCCCCCTCCACCACCTCCGTACCACCCCCCAGCAACCCCCATCCATAACCAACTCAAAGCAGGCTGGAAGCAAAGACCTCCCAGTCAGCATCCTTCACGTTCATTTTCTTATCCCTGTAATCATTCACTGTTTCACTCCAGAACGGCTCCCAAAGCCTGCCCCCCTCCAGTCTATCTGCCAGGTGTTAAAGCCCCAGCACCTGACTGCACCAACACCACAGGGCTGGGGAGACAGACAGTAGCTGCCGCCGCCGCCACCGCCTCCACAGCAATAGCATCTGAGAAACAAGTGGTAAGTGAACACCCAGGAACTTACCTAAAAATGAAAGTTTGAGGAATATTAGAAGCAAGGCCCCTTAAGCGTTCTACTGGAACTCAACAATGCCCAGCAGTGTTACTGACAAGCTGAAAGCATAGACTTGAGTGTTCTGGAGAAGAGCGAGTGTGGGGGAGAAAGGACAGAGAGCAGAGACTGGTAGGCATAAATGTGGGTGTAGTTGAGTGCCAGCCTTATCTTTATTTTCCTTTGGGAAGGGGTGGGGTTGCAGGGCACCATACATGGCTATGTTTTACCAGTTTTCATAGTGCTCCATTCCAGCACACGTCTAGAGTCTGTCCCTAACTTCTCTTCTGTAGAATCCTCTATTCTACCAAATGCCCTGATGAGGCAGGGAGCATCCCATCAGGAAAAGTGTAGCAGACTTCCCAGTAAGGAAAGCAGTCCTTTGCCTGTCTTTGCCTTCCAAGCTGCCATCAGGGCCCTCATTTGGGAACTACAGTCACCAGCATTAGTAGCTGGTAAATCCAGCAATAGGTCTTTGCTTGGTTTTACATTGCATTAGAGGTTGAATTTGAAAAGAAAAAAAAAAAATAATGCTTTTTAACTCGTCCTGCTCAGTCTCACACTGTCACTAGCATTCAATAGAGAGAGAAACAAAAGACATGTATTTGTTCAGGAAGTCTTCATTAAAATGGGGCTTTTTGGAATCTAGGGACAAGTGTACACCTTGGGTCCCGCTCTCATCTTTACTCACCTTACACCCTTCTACCCACTTCCCCTGCTGAGCCCTTCAACCCCGACCCCCACCCCCAAAGGAGAAAGAAATAGGAAACAAAGGTTGGTTGTGTTTGATAAACCAAATTCCCTTGGGAGTGGGGGGGGAGGTAGAAGAGGGTAAGGGGAGATAAATGATGACAGAAGGTAGTGAACACATGATACAATCTACAGATGATGTAGTGTAGGACTGTATACCTGAGACTTACATCATTTTATTAACCAATGTCACCCTAATAATACATTCAGTTTTTATAAAACTACCATTAAAGGTAATTTACTTGTATGTTCATTATAATTTTAATTATAATAATGAAAAATTAGAAACAACTTTAATGTCCAACAGTGGGAGAATGATTGGATAAGTCATCAGCGCAGTGGACTATTACACAGTAATTTAAATAGTAATCTCAAAATTTGGTGGCAGAATTATATATATACACTAAGTTTTGTGATAACACATATATGCAAAGAAAAAAAAGTAAAATATCTCAAAATGCTAAGTGGTTATCTCGGGGAAGGTTAGGGTTATTATTACTATTTTTTGCCTTTCATTGTCTGTATTTTTATCATTCTTAAAAACAAGCATGTGGCCAAAACCGGTTTAGCTCACTGGATAGAGCATCGGTCTGCGGACTGAAAGGTTCCAGGTTCGATTCTGGTCAAGGCCATATACCTTAGTTGCGGGCACATCCCCTCAACAAGGTATATGTTTTTAAATCACTTCGACATATTCAAGCTTTCACTTTGTATTTTTTCAGACACACACACACAGCCGTAGCATTTAGGTAGGGGGTGTGCAGGAGGCAGCTGATCAATGTTTCTCTCTCATTGATGTTTCTAACTCTATCCCTCTCTCTTCCTCTCTGTAAAAACTCAATAAAATATATATTTAAAAACAAAACAAAAAAACAAGCATGTGTTTTATACTGAGGAAACGAAGTCAGTAGACATCATTTTTACAGAGTCCTGGGCTGTACTCATCCCCCCTCTTTGTTTCTGTCTGCAGTGTACACAGCCTGTGCTCAATGACCTAATGCCGGATATTGCCATGGGTGTGTCCACATTGTCACTCAAGGACAGGAGGCTTCCAGAGCTTGCTGTAGACACAGAGTCAAGCCAGTCGGTTTCTGAAGCAGGACCAGGGCCTCCCCAGCATCTGGTGTGTGTCCCGCAGAGGCATATACACACGTCTCGAAAGAAACACACACTAGAGCAAAAGACAGATGCTCGAGAAAATCAGCAGGAATATCCGGATTTCTATGACTTCTCAAATACTGCTTGCAGACCTTCTACTCCCGCTCCTGGCAGACGCACCCCTTCCCCTTCACAAGGTGGGTATCTGGGTCCTGATTTGTACAGCCACAACAAGGCATCACCGAGTGGCTTAAAGTCAGCCTACCTGCCTGGCCAGACCTCTCCTAAAAAGCAGGAAGAAGCTAGGAGAGAGTATCCGCTGTCCCCTGATGGGAATCTCCACAAACAAAAGAAGGAGCCGATACACCTGGATGTCATTGAGCAACCTCCCCAGCGGTCAGACTTCCCGCTGGCAACCGCAGACAGTGCTGGCAGTGGCCCAGCGCATGGCAGGGGGCGGACAGCAGTGGAAACCGACTTGACGTTTGGGCTGACTCCTAACAGACCTTCGCATCCTGCATGTGGCTCTGAAGCTCCAGAGGAGAGGTCCGGGAGAAGACTAGCTGACAGCGAGTCCCTGGGCCACGGAGCTCAGCGAAGTGTGGATTTGGAAAGGGAGGATTCAGTGAGCAGAGGAAGGAGGTCACCAAGCAAACCGGACTTCCTCTACAAAAAGTCTGCCCTCTGAGAGCAGCTCCACGTGTCTGTGCCTGAGATGTGAAACATCCCATTTTATTACGTAACCCAGCAACTTCGAGACCCACTTATTGATGCCAGCTGATAACTCAGTTATTTTATTCCGGTTTTTGTACATACATGTTTAGTAGACATGGCATGCTAAGAGGGTTATTTTGAATGCTGCATCTGTCTGTTTTGTGTTTGAATAATTGTGTGGGGAAGCATTTTTAACAGCAAACAAGCTGGCACTTTTTTTTCTCTTTACAGATGAATTTTTTGCACTTGTCCATTTATTTTATCTGTATTGATTTTATATCAGTATGTTAAACTTTATTGCCGCATTTAAAGGACTGTATTTTCATACTTTTTGCATTTTGCCATTCACCTACCAATTTCCATGTGCATTGGATTGCACACTAAGATGTATTTTCTTATGAAATAGTTCTGTGTTTATTTTTTAATTATAGAAATTCCAAAGAACAGCACATCAAAATGCTCCTCTTTTCAATAATTGTTTTGGTTCGGAAATCTTCCTGCTCAATCTCTTTAAATCTATTGTCATTGTTTTTTAATAAGTCTGGGGAGCTGGCCTTCGTTCCTTCAGTGGGAGTCCCATTAGGATCCCGGAGTTTCCAGCTCACTAGAGAACAGGAAGGAGGAAAGCCCGTTGAACCGGGGCTGCGAAGCTCTGGCTGCGTTCACAGTGCGGACGCTGTCAGAGCCGCTGCAGATTCCGGGAGCGTGGACTAGAGAGTCACGAGATGAGACTAAAGAGCTCGGAGTTCTCAGCCTCCTGACGCCGTGGCGATGGCGAAGTCACCTCAGCCTGCACCACGTGTTTCTGGTTCTAGCGTCCTCGACTCTCGCTGATGGGGAAGGGACTGCTTGCTGCCTTCAGTTGTCTTGCTCTCTGTGGGAAAACAAAAAACAAAAGGGCTTCAGTCTTAACGATGTCATTTGGTGTTTATAAGCATGTTTTCTTTTACATATTTTTAAAGTGCGTCTGAATTTTGTGTCCTATAAAAAGTTGTATAATGCATAATGCTTCATTACCAAAAGAGAAAAACTTTTTTTTTTTTTCCCAGTGAAAACACTACATGTCCTACTTGAACTCCACTAGGGATGCTGGTTTGGGATTTACTGAACCACTGAGCACATGGGGTCTTTTAAGATCTTCTCCCTTGGAAGGGCAATGTGTGAACTAAGGACTTTTTTTTACTCTCCAATGTAAATATCCTAGTGTTTGAGTTTTTAAATCACTTCGACATTATTCGAGCTTTCACTTTGTATTTTTAGACACATACACACAGCCGAGCACTTAGGAGAAAAGAGACTTTCTGCACGTTCCCACATGGGGATGTGTGTTTGGGAGACTCGTCTCTGTGTGTGTATGTGTGTGTGTGTGTGTGTGTGTGTGTGTGTGTGTATAACTATGAATCACTGACACTCTAAAACTATGCAGGGCTAGGGAGCCTTTACAAGCTCACATAAATGAATTACATGCACTTTTAAGTCAATAGGTTTCTATTGGGTGTCAACAACTGGTTCCTCCCAAAACTGTAGATTCTCTTACATTCTTTTCCTACTTTACCCTGTGGATGTACACTCAGGAATAATCTGGCATTTAACAAAATCCTGACAAGTAAGTCATCTCAAAGATGGGAAACATCAGTGTGTCTGTGTGCACCGGTCCACTGCTGCCTCTCCTGCTGCTGCTGCTGTGTCTGTCCGCCAGGTGTGAGGTTGCGAACTGAGCTCCAGAGTTAACACTAACCTACTTGTAAGGTTGGCTCTGCATTGCCTTTGAGGCTCCCTGTTTTAAAAGTAGGAAACAAGACTGACTTCCATTTTTAGGTTTGACTCTAATATTAGGGTGTCTTTTGAAGCCAATCTCAGTCTGTCGCTCTCTCAGAAGCTAAAGTTAATTCCATTATATTCCTTAATGTGTGTTTATATATTTGTGTTGACATGAATTATTTTGATGTCGTTTTAAATACCTGTTCTGAAGTCAGACTATACTGTGCTGGTACTACAGTTATGAGTGAGGAGACTTAATTTTAGTGGAAAAAACTTGATCTGTTTTTTTTAATTTAAAAAAAAACAAAAAACATTGGACAAGAGCTATTGATGTCACACATTTATTCTTCTGAAAATTTATTAAATATTCCTTCACATCCCCAAAGTGTAATTATAAAAATAAGTGGCCACTGTTCATAGTTTTGTTTAATTTATGAAGTTTGCTTTTAATAATTTAGTAGCTTACCTGGCTGAACTACGTGTACAAAGAGAAACTTACTTTAACCTATGGGATTGTGGACCGATGTGACTTGCGAAGATAAACAGACGTGGTGGAGTGTGCTCCGGTAGGTGTTAGCAGACTTTCAGTGTACCTTGTGAAGTGTGGTTAATAGAGTAGGGTAGGTTGAATAGCTCTGTGCCTCTGGCTTTTGAACCCATCTATTCAGTCTTTTGTAATGCTTACTAAGCATTAAAATATTTGAATGCTGTACTAAGATAAATGTGAAGTCTGAGTAGGATGGCTCTCAGAAAAAGAAAAAAAACATGTATAATGTAAAATTTGGCCACAGGACCTGGTATTGTACTCTGTGTAGAAATTTTGTGAGAACCAAATCTCGAGGCCCCGACAATCAGGCCGTCAGACAATCACCACTTTGGGTGCCCGCCTTGTTGAGGTTACAGGACCATCGTTTTGCTCCTGGGTCACAGAGAGAATATTGGCATTTCTTTAGGAAGCTGTTGGTCTTTTTTTTTTTTTTAGGTTTTTTTTTTTTTTTTTTTATGAATAATTTAAGTTCAAAGTCACCTGTGACTCCTAAGGGGGAAAAAAGTATAAAAGGTGAAATTATTCCTGAAAAATGGTGGTTTGAATTTTCCACATACCCTATCCTTTCTCACATGCCCCCTCAGCTTTTTTTAGGCATATGTCCCTACACCTAAGCTCTCCTGATATGTTGATAACCGGTTAGATTTTAAGGATTTTTAACATCCTTTTGTTGAATCCTTTTGTATAACTCCAAAACTTCACCTAACTCTCGGTTTTTTAACTTAAAAAGAATGAATTAAATGGCTTGTATAAAACTTTTTGTAATTGCTATCCTTTATTGGACTTTCTTTTGATTGGTTGTTCAAGTTCTGGCTATGAGCTGTACTTGGCTATTGAATTGAGGTGATGGTGCGGAGTGTGAGGGGGACAGCCGGGAGGCAGCAGGGCCTGCATGTGTCCATGTCTAGAGAAGGTAGAACATATCTCAGTACCTACTCAGCAAAGGATGTATTTTCATAATGTTTAATCTGCCTTTTAGGAAAATTGTGTTTCATGAAACACTTGTAAGATATTTGTTTTGCAATTCTAAGGCGTTCATGTTTATATCTTAGGACTGAACTCAAAGGGAAATGTTTATTTGACTTTTAAAAAATTATTTGATCGACTTCTAACTTTCTGTTGAAAGTTACTATGAAAGCAGCAGTGATGGGTGCTATTCCCGATTCTGCAATGGTTTACTTAGTCTACTAAATAATTTACTTTCAAACCTCATGACAGATAACCTTACTGAAAGAGTTACCATCACACTACTAACAGGCATTGTATCTTACTATTTCCCATCAGCACTGTTGTATGAGCAACATTTTCTGAATGTTCAGCTGTCTTTTTGTCTGATAAGTTGCAATAGCTGTTATGTAATTCTTGTATTGGCAGGTCTTTGATATTGTTTCCTCCAGAAAACTCTGACCATATGTCAATCTTCCCATATTCTAAATATTACATTGCTGTGGCTGTTTCTAAAGAAAGGTTACTTGCAAGTGTGTGTCTTGAAAATAACCTCTTGTGTTTGTGTGTTTGTGTGGGCTCTAAGAGCTGAGCTCTGGAAGCTTCGTTACGTACCTACACCTGACTGTTCTGTAGGCAGGTGGTCTGGATCCTGCTCTTGGGGTGGCTGGAAGGTAAAGGTTCTTGAACTTCTTGCTGTTTGTGTCCCTCATCTATACTCCAGAAGTACTCCTACAATACTGCATTCTTGTGGTTGTGCTGTTACTGGTATAAAGTCAAGTGCCTTCAATGCTAAAGGCTCAGAAATTTTTCTTAAACTGATTTCATGTCCTATGCAAGTGTTTTCTACAACCTGCATAACCAGTACTTTGTAAAACTTGTTTACGCTTCAATTGTACATAGTGTTTTTTAAGGAAATATATAGTATTTTTATTTAGGTACCTCCAAACTTGAATTTGTCTGTGTGAAGCATTGTAAACCGATACATCTCTCTTTGCGTATCATTACCGTTGTACAAAGGTTTTCACTGGTTCTATTTTTCTACTGTTACTGATAAGCATGTAACACTGACTTTATCCTACATATAGTTGGCATTTCAAATAAATGGCTTGTATAGAACCTGCCAAGTTGGTGTAGTCTGTTTTAGCAATGTGGCTCCATTCTAGAGGCTTTCTTCACAAATTTCCCCTCTGTTCCCATGATTTCCATTATTCAGAGGCTTTTTTTTTTTAATTATTGTTTTCTTGGAAATATATTTTCATTTGAATCAAGGTCATTATATTTTCTACTTTTTCATTTTGGCACTTCTGAGAGATTGCCTCTCATGGGAGTTTCCAGAGGAAGGTCAGCATTCCACCAGCGGACCCAGCACCTGGACGATGCCAGGCGCTGTGGCAGAGACCAGGAAGATCCCAACTCCAGGTGCCGGAGACCTGGCTCAGAATCTGAGCTTTTTTCTCTTTCACACTCAGGCTTACTAATATTTTTCAACCTAAAAGGGAAATGGAGTCATCTAGAGTTTTGGTTCCTGAAAACAAAACAAAACATGCAAGATTGAAAATTCTCTAATTTCCATTTTTTAATTGTTATAAAGTAGCTACTAATCATTCCACTAGTAAGTCCATCTTATTTTGCCCTTCATGCTTCACTATGGTAGTTCTAGAACCATCTTGGGTTTACCTGTGGAGTATCAAACAAAAATCTGAGGTTTTTGTGAGATCTTAAAAACCTTAAAAAGAAAACCGAGTAAGGCAACATTCGTGTCTTAACTTGTGGATTTCCTCTGGAAGAGTGTAGGCTGGCTTCCCTCACAGCAACAGGAAGCTGCTGCAGGGTTTTGAACAGGGACAAAAGGTAATAGAACTTGCATGGTCTGTGTCGCTTGGTTGAGGAGTAGAAGTGGATCAGGAAATCAGGCAGGGGTTTGGCAGCTCTCCAGGGGAGAGCCCGAATAGCTCAGAGAACCAAGAGGGTGATTTCAAATATAAATATGATTTGGGCATACTATCTGTAGGACTTGGCGATTTGGTGTGGGGAGAAAGAAGGCATCAGACAGGAGAAAGGGCATGAGCTTAGTGTTGATCTCTCCGTTCCCAGCCTTGCTTTGGGAGACTGAGGAGAATTCACGTTTCTTGGAAGATTTAGAAAACCCTGGATTGGTTAAGATGCTGGAAGACTTGGTTCAGTTCTTTGGTTTATGTTCTCCCCGCTATGGATCCTGGCCCACTGCCCTGCCACATGATAGGTGCTGCACCGTTTGTGGAATACACAAGTGGGAGTGCTCATTCGTTCATCAAAGGTTTGCTGAGCACATGATCTCCTTTTGTCCACCCACAATGACCCTAATATAATTGCCAATCCCCATTTTACAGTTTTAGAAACTGAGGCTCCACAAAGCTGAGATTCCACATCCAGTTGGTGACTCCAGGTTCAGGTACATAAGCAGCTCTAGGGCTGTAAGGAGTCCTTCGCTCACCTGAGCACAATTCACGGGGTGATGATCACTAATCTGAATTTCCAAGGAAGCAAGAACTGGGGGAAGGCCAGAGGTGGGCCTCTAGATTGGCTTTTGGTTGAAATAATGGCTACCATTAGGTGGGCCTCATCTTTTCCTCTCTCCTGCACAGCAGCACCTGCACAAACAGGTCACTCACAACCCCAGCCCACTTCTATGTTCTACTATTGATTTAGGCCCCAACAGGGACTATGGCAGCTCGCTCCCAGGTGTTGTAAAGCCAGGGACTCAGGCGAGGCCACATCTTGTGAAAAGGAGGAGAAATGAACCAGTGCCCTACTGAGCAGGACCCCAGGGGAGGAACAGCTGTGAGGAATATACTCATTTCCTTATAACAGGCACTGAGAGGCTGTGCACATTTAAGTAACTAAAAACAATCTGAAAAGCCACTATTTTGAATTGGTTTTATTCAATCTTACAGAAACCTGATTGGAGTTTAGTACGTAGTTATAAGTCCAGTAACAATTCTACAAAAGTGGACATACAATGCTGGAATTCCTTCAAAGCAACAATATCATAGTCTTCTTTTGCATAAAACATGCATTAACTGCAACATGTAGGCCAAAATCAGTCTCCACAAGAAGAGACGGTCCAATGCAGTCAAGAGAACTAGCTATGAACAGCAGGTGTAAAAGGAGGTGTCCCGGTTAGTGTAAAAGGAACAGGACCTTCAGAAAACAAGCCCTTCAGCACTGGGTGACTTATATTGTATGGCAATGTAACACGTCACCTCAGACCTGGTCCTGACCTGCCCTAAGAAGGAACATTCTGGTAGTTACACATTTGAGAAGATACAAACTTGCAGGCCACAATGGCCCACTACCTGTGCAGCCTTGCAGAGAGGGCGCAGATGTCCTGACTTGGGAGAGCTCCCAAGTTGGGGGTTGTAAACAATCTCAAAGACGCCCTGAGCTTTCCAACCTCGCCTTTCACCTTTCCCTACAAGGCGCCCTGGGCACACAGCAGGTGGCCGTGAACCTCCGGCTCCGCACATCACTCTTCACGAGGATCTGTAGCCGGGTGTGCTGCAGGGAAGCATGGGACGGAACGTTTCTTCTGAGGCCTTGACTTGCTGTGGATCTCACCTCACCCAGGGATCGGCGGGCACTTGTCTACATGGCTGCTGCACACACCAAGGGATGTTACTAACACGTAACTCAGTTTGTCTATTGTCAGGACAGACCTTGTTCCTCCAGAGCAGGGGTCGGGAACCTTTTTCCCGCCCAGGGCCACTTGGATATTTGTAACATTATTCACGGGCATACAAAATTATCAACCTAAAAACCAGCCTGTTGTATGTGGTCAAACATTTAATCAGCTTACCCCTAATGGGTTAAGTTCCATGGGCCTTAGGCTGCCAGGCCCAACGTTCCCCAGCCCTGCTCCAGAGGGAACAACTCCATTTATAAAGGGTGTTTCCCAAAGACTGAAGGGTTTTAAAGACATTTCAAACAAACTGAAAGGACCTCCCTTCAAATATGGGGTTTTATGCAACATTCCTTGAGGTTCTTAAAAAGATCTGGGTCATCAGGGAGCCAGTCGTGGGCATTAATGCTTATATACACAAAGCTCGTCATCCGCGCAGCCTAGGAGTCGCCTCTTCCACAACAGGGCTCTCGCCGCCCTGCTCTCAGATGAGCTAAGCCAGTATCTTTTCCTTCAGCACAATTTAAGGGGGGAAATAATTTATTAGGGTTCTAATAACATTTTCACAACAGAACAATATCAAAATAGGTTTGTTTTTAATATATGCTTAAGAATATCCCTGATAATATAAAGAAATCCAGAGGACTTTGTAAACCGCCGAGATTTCGCAGGGGAGAGCCCGGTCTGGTTTCTAGACAGCAGGAGGGACTACTGTGTGGCATGTGTTCTCCAGGAAGCCCTGTGAGCACCACAGTTCTGAAAGTCTAACATGCTAGTGCCAGCAGAATTGTGAATGACATTCCTATCAAAGGGTGGCTTCCTCAATCCTGCCATCAGCTAATCTCCCTGCCTATAACAGGCCACAAAACCACCAATCCTGGCCACTCCAGGGGTCGAGCCCAGAGGAATCAAGTTGTGAGATCCCTTGTAAGCTGTGCCCAAACCTCAGAAAGGAGGGGTGTGGGAGGAGGATCAGACCGGGCTTGAGGAAGCTTTGACCCAAGGCACCACGATCATAGGGGTGAGGGGACCTAGAGAGGTTCCAGCTGCAGGAAGATGCCCCCAAAGCAGGTCCTGGAAGACAACAGCTCTGTGGCGGAGTAGACACGTTTGGGAGTTAAAGACCAAAAAATTAGAAAAGAAACTAGTTTACTTTCTCAAAACCAAATCAAACTTCTTAAAACTTATAAGCAAATAACCCTGGATAACCTGGAGGGGTGAGGGGGGCTGAAGTCTGTGGAATGAGTTGCTTTTAGCTGAGTCAGAAAGAATGCTGGTTGTGAAATCAGCATAAACACTGTGGCTACCGCAGTTAAGGAGAGTGAAGGAAGCTCAAGGTCAGAGGAGGAGGCCTCTCCAAAGAGAGGCTGGAAGAGGAGCAATTGTGAAATATGCCTCTTTTATTCCTGGATCAGTGAGTGGCATTTCCACTGCCTGGCTGGGAAGGCGCCATACTCCACTCTAGCTGCAATAATACTGCATCCCGTCCACTCTTCTTCTCTTCTTGGACTGAAACTCTTCAAAGAACTGCTGGATGTCCTCTCTCTTTACAACCTGTTGACGAAAAGCAAACATTAGGAAAGGGAACTACATTACAGAACAATAATAACTGGTCGTAATGTTCACAAAGAAGTCAAACAAGTTGCTGATACGGATTATTTTAATGGGTAATTAATTATACTATCTCTATTTTATAGAGTTCATCTATGCTCAGAAACACTGGCCTGTTCAGATCACACAGCTGGCAGAATAGCATTAGGCACCGAGCATAGGTTCCACCACGTGCTGGGTTTCCTCACAGATGAGGAAAAAGCAGCACCAAAGTGAAAGGGTCGTTGGGAGAGCGGCTGAGCCACAGTGCTGTGGGGCACTGCTGGCACATAGTAAGTTTTCGGTAATTGGCATGAAGAGTGGCAGAGCCAGACAAAGGCTGAGAACCAGAAAGGTCTCCTCAAACATTGCTCCCACTCATTCCACCACTGCCTTCTGGGAATGTCCCTCCATTCTGAATAAACACCCACAAAACAACATGTTTTGTTTTGAGATTTGTGCTTTCTTTCCTGAAGAAAAAGGAACCTGAAAACTTTTACCTCTTCAAGAGGCCAAATTAAAGACGCTTGTACATAAATAAATTGGTAAAAACTACAGAAGCACTACTCTTAGTATAAATGAGAAATTTATCTTCCATTTTATTGGAAAAAGGACTGGAGCATGGTACAAAGGTGTTTATAACAGAAGCAAAATAGAATATTAAAAGTAAGACAACAGTAAACTGACGCAGCACAGATGAAGTCCCAGCGCACCCAAGAGTGAGTCTTGCCAGTGATCTGATCTAAAGTTAAGGACAATCCATTAAGAGACAGGTCTGTTAATTACTTTTTAATTACAAAGGAAATGTAATTGCTTACATTTCCTGTAATTGCTTACAATTCCAAAAGTAATTGCTTATAATTCCAAATGTAATTGCTCACATGCTTATTGTTAAAAAAAAAAAAAAAAAAACTACGAAGGTGGGGCATGAGGGAGGGAGAAAGTAGTGAATGCATGTGAGCAAGAGAGAGGTGCAGAGGACAATTCAGGTGTTAAGATGAAAATCTCCCTTTCTCACTCTACAGGGTAAGTGCTGCTAACACAGCAAATGGCAATGCTAACTGGAAGAACTGCCTTCGGATAAGGTATTTATGCTCTGGCCGAGTGGCCAGTTGGTTGGAACACTGACACCAAAAGGTGGCGTGTTGAATTCCCAGTCAGGAAACATTCCCAGGTTATGGGTTTGATCCCCAGTCGGAGCCTAACATAGGAGGCAATCAATCAATGTGTTTTTCTCTCTCTCTCTTTCCCCTTTCCTCTCTCTAAAATCAATAAAAATTTAAAAAAAAGAATGTTTGGGGGAAAAAAGAGATACTTATTAATCCTCTACATGAAAGAACTTAACATTTGTCAATACTCTACACACCAATAGTTGATAATGCCCGATTCACCCGCACTAAGAGTAAAAATGCCAGTCAACCAGCGAGGAATTAGAACCCCTAACAGATTCAAGACCTACATGCTAACTCTCTGAGATGACTTCAGCTCAGAGCTCCAGTGGCTTCTCTGAATCTACCACCACTCTCCAGACCGTGTGGCTGCCCGTCCCCCATTCCTGCTGGCCTAGTTGGGAAGAATGCCCAAGGCGGCCGGACTATGGATGTCTCACCACCTCTTACTGATTTCCGTTAGCTCTGTCTGAATTAAACTCACAAGTATCCAGTTTAAGATGCATGTTTTTTTTTAATCAAAGAAAATAAACAGTTTATTCAAAACACAGGGTTGTGATTAAAATTCTTTAACTCAACATACCGTGCCTTCATCGGCAAATCTCTTCAGGTAGTCTTTAAGTTCAGTCTTCAAGTCATTATATTCTAAATTAAAACAACAAAACAGGCCATTGGCTTTTAGAAACAAAATATTTCTTTACCGCCGACTTGAGTATCTAGAATTTAAATTTTAGTTAATAGTTTAAATTTTTTAGTTAAGTTTTGATTTTTCTTTAAATGAAACCTACATAGAAACGTGTTTCCCAAATTCCTTCATTTTGATATCAAAAATACTTTTTTCATTAAAACAAAAAAAGCTCAAAAACCAGAGATAGCCTCACTCCCAAAAAGATTAGCATAGAATTTTAAAAGGGTTTTCTATTTCTCTGGCATTCTAATATTTGAAATGACTCAGATTAATCAAATACTGCCCTAGCTGGTTTGGCTCATTGGATAGAGTGTTGGCTTGTGGACTGAAGGGTCCCTGGTTCGATTCTGTTCAAGGGCACATGCCTGAATTGCGGGCTCGATCCCCAGTAGGAAGCATACAAGAGGCAGCTGATCAATGATTCTATCTCATCATTGTTTCTCTTTCTCCCTCTTCTCTGAAATCAATAAAAATCTATTTTTTTTTTTAATTTGACTAGTGATTGCCTTTTAAAAAAAGATTTGTCAAAAACTAAGTTTTAAAATTTGTTCACTCAATCAACAGTTTGCATAAAGCTTTTAGTCTAATAATGGGAAAAGGAATCAAATAGTTACAAATAAAAGATAGAAACAATGTCATAAAAGGGGCACACAGGTGGTGGCGCCCCCAGAGAAAATGGCTGGGATAGAAATCGCCAACATGAGTTGGGCACGCTGTGGGGAACATGTCAAAGCCTGCAATTAAGAGTCTGGGCTATTTTCCCCTCTGGTGGATTCCTGTGAACCACTGAGGCAACCTCAAGAACTGTCAAAAGGTGACATGTAATGCTCAATGAAAATTATATTTTATTGGATTGAAAAAGAAATTGATTCTCTAATACTCTACTCACACATTCACCTTTAATCAAGACACATGCTGTGGTTTCTTCATCATGAATTATTCTAGCATGTAACCCATAATAGCAACCAAATACCCAGCAACATTACCCTTAAGCTAGTATAGTTGAGGTCTACTATACAATTCCAAACTTAAAACTTTAAAACAAAAGGTATTAGTTATTCTCCTTACATAATTTTTTTTTCAATTGTGAGGGAAACTTTATGGACTTCATGAATTTTCACACTCAAGCAGAATTTACCACAAATGAGTTCCACTTGCTGGACTCTGTTCATGCTGTTCAGGGTGTCCATTAAAGGATCTGTCCTGTCAGCCGCCTGGTCAACCTTGCCCTTGTTTTCGTAAGCCAGGACTGTGTCATATTCATCTGTCAGGAACAGGACGTCTAGATCGCCATACATTCTCTTTAAAAAATAAAACCAGTTTCCCCATTAGCGCAGCATGCCATTTACCAGTCAATCTCTGAAAATGTATTTTTAAATGGATTGCCAGAAATACCTGAGCCTTTCCCCATACAAGAGTTGCTTGAGTGATTTATTCTTTTTTCCCCAAATCTCTTTTAGAAATCTCTCAACTTCCTAGTAGGTATTGTATGGCCTAAGAGATCTTTATTTAAAAAAAAATAAAGATCTGACTTAATGTAACTCTCAACAATTTTGTGTTTCAAACAATTTTACGTTATAAGAAAGCTAAGAATTGCTATTTTTCCACTAAAATGAAGTAAATAAAAAGTAATGCATAATTCTGCATTGCTTCCACAAGCATTTAGACTGTAAACACTATTTCATAAACTTGCTTAATATAAACATTTTTGGTGGAAGAGTATAGCATAGAGTGGATAAATGGTGATGGAAACAAAAAAACATTTTTTTTAATTTTTAGATTCTTTACTCTCCTCACATGATTTTCATATATATATGAAAATACGATGTTCTCATTTTAGGCATCAGTCCACAAAACAACTAACAATGAACTTGATCAGGTACTTACCATACAGTCTTTGCAGGTACACAACTTGCTACGCCAGTTCAGGGGCCAGAAGGTGGCAGTGTCTTTCTTCATAAAATGCTTAGCTTTAAGCTCCTGAAATTTGCAGCCAGACTGTGATTCTGGGTTGAGATGTTGATTCTTAAATACTGCCTGAAATAAAATTAAGGTGTTTTCTTTGTTGTTTTTAAAATATATTTTATTGATTTTTTTTACAGAGAGGAAGAGAGAGGGATAGTTAGAAACATAGATGAGAGAGAATCATCGACCAGCTGCCTCTTGCACACCCCTCCACTGGGGATGTGCCTGCAACCAAGGTACATGCCCTTGACCGGAATCGAACCCGGGACCTTTCAGTCCGCAGTCCGACGCTCTATCCATTGAGCCAAACCGGTTTCGGCAAAATTAAGTTTTGAAATATGTTTTTTAAAATATCATGTTTTCATACTTTAGATTTGTAAAAGGATTTCTTTAGGCAAAATATACAATTGAGATCCAAAACTATCGAGCTTACAGAATTAATTTTGCTTAAGTTTTCTTTCTTTTATGGCTCCTATTTCAGCTGTTACCTGGAGATCAGATTCAGAACTAGAGCTGGCACACGGTTCATTCGTCTGCTCTGCTTTAACTGCCTTGACAGCATCTTTTGCATGTTCTGGAACATCCTCTTTGAGGGGACTATCGTGATGCTCTCCATTTTCAGGTTTGGTAACTTCCTCATCACCTATTCCATCAACATTCAGAGCCAACCCATCATCCTCAGCAGGTACTTTGGTTACTGTAGTTTCAATGAGAAAAAAAAAAGACACAAATACACAGGTCCACAGACCTATTAGACAATGAAATCACTTTACCTGATTAAAAAATATTTCAGAATTTGGAAAAGGAGTAATCTTAATCTCTAGAATAATGACAAAGGAAACATCAATATTTTTTTAAGTTATGCCTGTCAAACCAAAGAGTTCAAATAATTGAACAGTTCGTTTAAAAATATAATCACTACTTAAGCACTTTTATGTAAAGGAGAAAGAAAAATAGCACTGATGCTAAAGAGAGATGGGATACCTGAAGAAGCAAGAGGCAGTAGGAAGAGACTTAATTGTAGACTCAAGTACTAGGGTAGTGTTGGGTTTTTTTTAATAGTTATTTATCAATCTATCTATCCTTATTGTTGAAAGTATTACTGATGTCCCCTTCCCTCTCCCCCCCAAATAGCATAGTTTTGAAAAGACAATCAGCATTTTTTCATAAAGAAAAAATAAAAAGGATGGGTAGAGAGCCAGAAATACTGAGAAGGAGCTCATGGTACATGATGGCATTTCAATTTAGTATAAGAGGAAGCCATCTGCTGACGGGAGGAAATGAAGTGATGGAGAGGAGATGAATTAAGAAAATCGAATGAATGAGAAATATATATAGGTCCAGTGAAAGTTAGAGATAGCGACAGATATGAACAGAAAGAGGGAGCCTTAATAACTTTGAGGCAAATCGAAAGTGTACGATGAGATCTTAAATATGACTGCTGTTTGTGGTTTATAGGTAAAGTGTTCCTTAAAGGTGAGAAGGGCAAAAAAGTACGAGACCAGAGCAGCAGATTCTATGAGTTACTGGCACTTAAAAACAAATAATACATATGGCATGACCAATAAATAAAATTATTTAATGTCTCAAAACTATTCATTGCTAATTAGTTGTTTTGGGTCAGTTTCTTAGTGTATAGCAAAAACACTAACATTTCCCACCACTCCCTACACAACCAACAGCAGGTCTTACATTTAAAAACAACTTATTCAGGTTCCATTTGTCTTTCAAAGTTCCATTAAAAACCGCCTCCTTGCGCAGCTGGTGTGGCCCAGTGGTTGAGCATCAACCCATGCACCAGGTCAGAGCTTATACCGGGGTTTCAGGCCCCAGCCCCAGTAGGGGGTGTGCAGGAGGCAGCAGATTGATAATTCTCTCGCATCATTGATGTTTCTATATCTCCCTCTCCATTCCTCTCTGAAATTAATTAAAAAAAAAAAAAAAAAAAAAAAAACCCTACCCCCTTCATTTTCTCTAATTTTGGTCTCATCTATACACTGCATCATGCCAATAAAGTACATATTTGCTCTTGGTAGTCTCCTAACCAATCATAAGCACCTTCCTATACCTCAGAGTCCAGTTAATAGTTGTAAAAACTCTGGACTGAACACACAAATTTCACAAGCACAAGTCTGTACAACTCCAGAGATGCCTACCTGCCCACTGTGCAGCATACGCCCACAGGAAAGAGCAGCGCTCCATGCAGGCCTGGCACACCATCTCCTGGAAATCCCCACTCTCCGGGGGCGAGGCACCAAGATGCTGTGAGTACAGAAAATGAGCATTTTCCTTGTGATCGCTAAGTTGTCCAAAATACTCATTTTATAAACAAATATGGCAATAGTACACTGATCATATCTTCATAGGATATTTTTTGAATAGTAACTATAATGTAAAATATAACACAATTCAAAAGAAAACACCTTTTCTCCGTTTGTGAAGAGAATGGCTTCAAAAGGGAAAAGCTTTCCTTACCCTTCCATGGAACCAGTCTTCACACACTACGCACTGGATCATCTCATCTGGAATCTAATACGGAAAAGCAATTTGTACGTTAATGATTTCGGAGACATGGAGGTAAGTCTGGCACAGAGTAGTATTAGATATTAATTAATTCTCTTCTAAATCTGTGAGACCACTCTCGACAGGGATATCCAAGGAGACAGGGGAAGACATCAGATTAATGGGCCAAAGAGAAGTTCATTCTACATGAACTAGTGGTATATAAGGGTTACAGTGCAATAAGCACTTTGCAAGCAACTGTCAAAGCTCTTTCTCGTCATTTGTGATTCCGACAAACCTTTACAAATAAGTAATGTGTTCCCATTTTACACATAAACATAAACCCAGGCCCAGGGGAGTAATCTGAATTGACCAATACAGATTTGGCACCTGGCCAGCATGGCTCAATGGTTGAGTGTAGATCCATGAACCAGGAGGTTGTGTTTGATTCTGGGTCAGGGCACATGCCTGAGTTGTGGGCTCGATCCCCAGAGTGGGGTGTGTAGGAGGCAGCCAATCAATGATTCTTTCTCATCATTGATGTTTCTATCTCTCACTCCTCCCTTCCTCTCTGAAATCAATAAAAATATTTTTAAAAGGTTATTACAAATTTCCAATAAACTCATGAAAAGATGTAACCTCAGTTATGATCAAGAAAAGAAAAATTTTTGCCAAAACCGGTTTGGCTCAGTGGCTAGAGCATCGGCCTGCGGACTCAAGGATCCCGGGTTCGATTCCGGTCAAGGATATGTACCTTGTTGCCGGCACATCCCCAGTGGGAGGTGTGCAAGAGGCAGCTGATCGATGATTTTCTCTCATCGATGTTTCTAACTCTCTATCCATCTCTCTTCCTCTCTGTAAAAAATCAATAAAATATATTTAAAAAAAAAAAAGAAAAAATTTTTAAAGATACAGTCCATCTATCAGGATGGCAAAATTTTAAAAGACTAGTAATATGTAGGGATGATAAGAGTGTTGGGGAAAAACAGTATCACATATTATTGATGGTTGATTACAATTTTAAATACAAATATCCTTTGACCCATCAATTCTACCTCTAGGTCTCCATTCTACATAAATCCTGCAAGAGTTTACTCAGTTATATTATTGTATAAGGGTGTTCACTGCAGCTTTCTTTATAGTAATGAAAAAGTAGAAAATGCCTTTCTATTGAGTATTTAGGTAACTAACTTAGGGCTTGTCAAAGATATATATACACCAAAAGTGTTAACAGTCGTTACTGTCTAGGAGAAGGAAGGTACAGGAGTGATGAAGAACTCTTTAAATTTTGTGTATATTTCTAATTGAAAACTTTAAGAGGATCATGTGTACATGCTATTTCTTTCCTTTCAGGAAGATAAGAAATTAAAGGCTATTTTGTGGAAAGTATTCAGGACTTAGAGCAGGAAGGCAGGTAAAGAGGGACAGGAAGGATTAAAGGTCCGGGCCTTAAGAAAGTCCTATTCAATATTTCATTCTCATGATGTAAGAATGAGAATAGTTGAGATCTGTACTAGTTAGAGACCAAGCCCAGATTTATCAGAAGAGATAAATTTAGAATCCTTTCACAATCCCCAAATTCCACTTGCACAGCTACAGAGGCCCAGATATGCCAAGAGCCTGAGGGGTGAAGACTAGAGATAACCAAATTCTCTTACCTCGTCTTCAGGATCAGGATAAGGTCTCTTACAAATACAATACAATCCAAAAAAGTTGTCATTATACTTATTGCCAGAATTTATCTTTGCTTTGTCCTGAAAGACATTAATTTCAATATAATATTCTAATTTTAACTATAATTTCATGCATCATCACATTTCTGCATTCAACAAATTTCTGCATTGAATATATGAAGAAAAGAGTCACTCCTATGAAAGGGATACTTTTTCCAGGTTACAGGGAAAAAAGAAAAATCATTTTTTTGTACCATATTTGTTGCAATTGGTGGATACTGAATATACCTATATAAGAGAATAGTAATGAAAGTTAATCATGAGTATTAATATCAACCTTTGGCTCTGGCCAGTGTGGTTCAGTTGATAGGGCACAGTTCTGTGCACCTGGGGTTGCTTGTTTGATTCCAGGTCAGGCCCACCTGGCTCCATCTCTAGTAGGGGGCATGCAGGAGGCAGCCAATGGATGTTCCACTTTCACATTATGGTTTTCTCCCTCTCCCTTCCTCTCTCTCTGAAAACCAATAAAAAATCTTTTTATAAAAATCAACCTATGCAAACCGGCACTGGCCTAGAACAATGGACAAACCGAGGCTCGTGAGCCACATGTGGCTCTTTGACCCCTAGAGTATTCTAATGTCACTTTTTCAAAATAGACTCACCCAGGCTGAAAACCGACTTCTGCGCATGGGCCACAAAGTTTCAATCGTCCTGTACGCACGTGCGCCCACACGTGGCGTTTTGTGGAAGAGCCACATGCAAGCGGCCAAAGAGCTGCATGTGGCTCGGGAGCCAGGTCTGCCGACCACTGGCCTAGAATTTCAAACTACTCTTAACAGCACCTGTAATAGCCAAAGCTGCCAGAGTACCAGGATGTAAAAAATAAAAAGACAAGAAGGGGGGAAATGAGACATATGTAATACTTTAAACAAAGGATTTAATTTTTTTTTTTTAAAGCAGACAAGAAAATTGTCCAAAAATAGTCTTCTAAGGAGAGAAAATCGTAATAGTTTTAGCAATTATGGTGGAATAAAATAAAATCCATTTTTTATTGTTAATTCTCACCTGAAGATATTTTTCCATTGATTTTTAGAGGAGTGGAAAGATGGAGGAGTGCCAGAGAAATATCAACGTGTGACAGACACATCAATTGATTGCATCCCACACAGGTCCTGACTGGGGTCAGAATCTACCCTGCAACCAAGGTATATGCCTATGACTGGAATAGAACCCAGAACCCTTCAGTCTGCAACTGACGCTCTATCCACTGAACAAACTGGCTAGGGGCCCTTAGTTTCTTTCATTTGTTATTTCACCAAAAGTTATTGTATAAGATAGTTTTTATTAACCAAAACGCCGTGAAAAATTCCTGCATGCATCTAGCCCACCTTCATTATTATCAAGTTTTATTTATCTAGTTTTTAGTCCTATCCCTTGCTTTAAAAGCTTTACAGCTGCCATGCTGGTGTGGGTCAATGGTTGAGTGTCGGCTCATGAACCAGGTGGTCATAGTTCAACTCCTGGTTAGGGCACATGCCCACATTGCCAGTTCAATCCCCAGTAGGGAGATTGCCGAAGGCAGTGGATCAATGTCTCTCATCGATGTTTCGCTCTCTATCTCGGTCCCTCTCTCTCTCTTAAATCAACTAGAGGCCCAGTGCATAAAATTTGTGCACCGGTAGGGTCCCTAGCAACTGCCGCTGGGTACACCCTCCCTTCCCCTTGCTGCCTGCTGCCAGATAGGGTCCCCTCCCTTCCCCCCGGCTGGTTGAACTCCTGGACGACTTCCTAGGAGAGGAGACAATTTGCATACTATGCTTATATTTTATAGGATTATTATATACTAGAGGCCTGGTGCATGAAATTTATGGGGGAAAGGTGTACCTCAGTCCAGCCTGCACCCTCTCCAATCTGGGATCCCTCGAGGAATGTCTGACTGCACGTTTAGGCCCAATGGGATCGGGCCTAAATGGGCAGTTGGTCATCCCTCTCACAAACCAGGACTGCTGGCCCCCAACTGCTCGCCTGCCTACCTTCCTGATTGCCCCTAACCGCTTCTGCCTGCCAGCCTGATCACCCCCTAACTACTTCCCTGACAGCCTGATTGATGTCTAACTGCTCCCCTGCCAGCCTGTTTGCCCCCAACTTCCCTCCTCTGCTGGCCTGGTCACCCCTAACTGCCCTCCCCTGCAGGCTTGATTGCCTGCAACTGCCCTCCCTTGCAGACTTGGTCCCTCCCAATTGTCCTCCCCTGCTGGCCTTATCGTTCACAACTGCTCTCACTTGCAGGCCTGGTCCCTCCCAACTGCTCTCCTCTGCTGGCCATCTTGTGGTGGCCATCTTGTGTCCACATGGGAGCAGGATCTTTGGCCACATGGGGGCAGCCAGACCGTGTGTTGGAGTGATGGTCAATATGCATATTACTCTTTTATTAGGTAGGATTATGTAAAAGCCTTAGAGCATAGCATGAGCACAACCAACATAATTTAACCTGAATCACTGCAAAGAACATTTCCCAAAAACCTTTCATATTAATTATACTCTATACTGTAGGTTCTAAACAGGTTACTTAGTTTTCTAACAGGGGAAAAAATGGAGTCTAATATTCATTTGCCCATTTGCAGAGAATAAGCATAAGATCTTCCTTTTTAGAAAATAATCTGGTTTTGATTAGAAAATAATCAAATATCCATCTCAGCTATTTTCAACGCATTTGTAATTACAGTGCTTACTTACAGGAAATAATTTGCATTCCAAATTCTTAAACTTGCTGTTTCCACAATCACAATGAAAATTTCTGAAACAAAGGAAGAGCCAATTTTAATTTTTCTTTTAAATCTAATGACCTTTTAAAGTACGTATCATAGCCTCTTCCTTTCAACTCATTTCTTAGGATCTAAAAAGTGGTCTTGGTTGCTGCTCATCTAGCCAATTCAGAATTTCTCCAACTACATAACAATAAAAGATTTAATAATTCTGGAAATTAATGTGCAGAAACAAATATTAATTAATTAAAGAATGAATAGTTTGAGTTTATACCATAATTATATTTAAAAGGCCGTCTGGAAAAACTATTGTCTCAAATTATATTACATAAAACAACTATAATAAATTTACCAGTTCACAACTACTTTGAATGGAAAAGCAAGATTATAGGGGAAAAGCACAGCTGGGAAAGAATCTAAACATTTAAAAAGCATTAAGCACCCATCTGTCTTTACCTTTTTGTATATAGCTCAAATAGTTTATGACTTCCATGACATTCATAACTGCAAGCTAGGCAAATCCCTGCTGGTTCTTCTCCCTTGGGGGTGCAGGTACCACAGGCATATAGTGCTTGTCTCTTTACGGAGCCCTAAAAGACAGCCCCAAATGAAAAATGAGAATTAATGAAATATGGCATGGTTACCTAATACCCATACTGTGATCTGAGAAATAATTGAAATCAGATTATCTGTGGTCAAAATCTTCCTGTAAAAACCAGTAAGATTAATAAAAAAGCTTACACAAGAGAGTGCCAAAACACTGTTGCATGTTTCGCACGCATCATTATATATACTATACTAGTGCCTGTTTTCATATAATTTTTTCTTAAAGTGATAGAAAGTTTAATATTTTCTTTATATATATATATTTTTTTTTATTTATTTATTTTTTTTTTTAATTTTGTACAGAGAGGGGAAGGGAGAGAGATAGAGAGTTTGAAACATCGATGAGAGAGTCAGCTGCCTCTTGCACACCCTCTACTGGGGATGTGTCCGCAACCAAGGTACATGCCGTTGACCGGAATCGAACCCGGACTCTTCAGTCCCCAAGCCCACGCTCTATCCATTGAGCCAAACCAGTTTCGGCAAAAGTTTAATATTTTCAATCAACTGTGAATAAGCTGGCCTGCTTAACCATTAGCTGTTCTGCTTAACCATGGTAACACATGAAAATGTGTGTAGGTTGATGTAAGTAATACCATACTTTGATTTAAGAAAATGCTTGATTCCATCAAAGACAAAATCAATGCATTTTTTAAAACCCCCCTTTTTTAAGGAGATGCATGCTGAAACATTTAGGGGTGTAGTGTGGTGGTATCTGCAAGTTATTTCCAAATGGTTCATCACAAAACAAAAAAAGTATATTATAAAGAGGAGAAAGATGAATGTAAAATGCTAAAAATGAAGGTATATTAAGAGATAACAAGCATTCTTTCCATTTATTGGCAGATTAAAAATCTTTCAAAATAAAACGTTGAAGGAAAAACAGGCAAAACTTGACAAACTTTGAAGAGTTCTCTGTAGGAGGGAGGGAGACACAGGGGAGCTTTGGAAAGCCAGTGATGTTCCATTTCTTGATTTGGGTGGTGGTATCTGTGTGTGTTTTTCAAGCCCTACACAGAATTTGTGCGACTGTTTATATATTTCACTAAAGTAAAAAGAAAATTTTAAGTCTGTCTTATAAAGCTAATTACTTTTCAAAAATATCTTACAGACTTTTTTTTAAGGCAGAGGAACAATCGTTCTGGTGGGAGACAAAAGTGTTTTTTTATTAATATATATTTTATTGATTTTTTACAGAGAGAAAGGAAGAGGGATAGAGAGTTAGAAACATCCATCAGCTGCCTCCTGCTGGAGAGATGCATGCTGAAATATTTAGAGGTGTAATGTGGTGATATCTGCAACTTATCACCCGAAGGTGCATGCCCTTGACCGGAATCAAACCCGGGACCCTTGGGTCCGCAGGCCAACGCTCTATCCACTGAGCCAAACCGGCCAGGGCAGGAGCCCAAGGTTTTAAAACACCAGCCAAGCCCGGCACTGCCTGTGGATACCAGGTGTGTTTGAAAATCTGACCGCTCTGCGGCGGGCACCCAACTAGCCAGCGGCTACAAGTCATATTGTGATCTCAGTCCACACCCCACAAAGGCCCCAAGCAAGCAGCCTCTCCTCCTCGTCCCGGCCTGAAGAGAGAACCTTCTTCATCCCCCCAGTTCCCAGCCCTTGACCTTCCTTCTGCCCACCTCGATCCATGTCTGTACCTAGAAATACACAGGATGAGTCACACCCAACACCCCATCACACCCCCTCCGGGTCTTGCTCACAGCGTCTTCCGAGCGCCAAATGTCCTCAAGCAGATCCTTTGGCTCCCCCCTCCCTCCCAGCCAGTACCATCTGCTGTTCTGGTTCCTACCCCCCTGGAACCCACGGCAGAGCTATTCGGCCCTTGTATCGTCTTCCCAAAAACACTGGCCGCCGCACTAAACTGCAGAGAACTAACGAGCTGTCCGGGTGCCAAGCGCGTATGGGGGGGCGGAGGGGAGGATTTTCAAACCCAGGGCTCAGCTCTGCCTGGATTCCCCCAGTGGGTTCCTAACAAACACTCTCAGGATGGGAAGAGTGGGGACGAGGAGGCCTGGATGTAAGAGGTCCCGGGGATGGCTTCTGGGAGGAAGAAAAGAGTAGTTGTCCAGGGCCAACGCTTGGAGAATCCCGAGAGGCCGGAGGAGGAGCGAGGGAGGAGGGGGCCCCTGTGGGCATGGACGGCGGGAGGGGGCCCAGGAGGCTGAGGGCCAGGGGGCAGCTGGGCCTGGAATGGGGACGTCCACGACAGACGAACGGCGGCCCCCGTCCGCCACGGAGCAGACGGCCGCGGCGGGCGGGAGCCGGACGAGTCCGCGGGGAGGAGGGTTCCGCCGGAGCCCGAGGAGGCGAGGCCCCCGCCGCCGGGCTCTCACCTGCGAGTAGGAGCACTTCTCGGAGTCGCTGCCCCCCAGGACGGCGCACGCCTCGTTCTCCAGCTCCTCGTCCTCCTCCAGGACGTCCACCAGCGACACCACGGGCTCCAGCTCCGACGGCCGCCCCTCGGCTCCGGCCATCCTCAACTGTCACCCGCCGCAGCTCTGCGCCGGCGGAGGCGGGAAAAGCGGCCGCGGGAGGCGTGGCCGGAGGAGGCGGGTCCTGAGCCCCAGGAACCAATCCCCAGAAAGAGAAGCGAAAGAAGGGGGAGGAGCGACTTCCGACAAACGGAAGTCACTCCTCTCCCTTCTCCCGCCTGCGCCGGCTTGGTTTCCGCTTCCGGGAGGCAGCTCCGGTTAGCGCGCTCCCGGCCGCTCAGCGGTTGCCATGGAGATCTCGGGCGAGTACGTTGGCCGGGACGGGCAGCGGCACCAGCTGCGGGTGCCCTGTGAGGCGCCCGACGACGCTGACCCTCTCCAGGGCCTATTGTCGGGCGTGGCCCGGATGAGGGAGCTGGTGGCCCAGCTCTTGGACCCCCAGGTGCAGCGGGAAGCGCAGGACAGACCGGCGGCGGCGGCTCCGGGCGAGGCCGCGGACGGTGAGCTCCGAGGCAGTGGGGGGCGGGGAAGGTGAGGGAACCCGGGGGAAATCTGTTCGGGGAGCCCGTAGAGTTGTAGACTTGACAAAAGCTCCGAGGGAAGAAGAATTCCACCTAAATATCATTTTTTTTTTTTTACACCTTCCGCCCTATCTGGGAATTGGGGCTGGTTGATCTGCTTCTACCCAAACGTGTTCACCACTATTTCATTCATATCACACCACACGAAAACACACTGCCGGCCCATGGCTAAGCCTCGACCTATGAACCAAGAGGTCACGGTTGGATTCCTGGCCAGGCAATGGATCAGTGATTCTCCTCATTGATCTCTCTATCTCTCTTTCTCTCTTTTTTTCCCTTTCCCCCTCCTCCCTCCCTTCCCTTTCTCTCTGAAATCAATAAAAAATATATATTTAGAAAACAAAACAACCAACAAGAGAGCCTGCTGAACGCCCACTTTGTACCAGGCACTGGGCTGAGCCCTGGAGAAAGAATGAGGTGGGGTCTGGCCAGGTAGCTCAGTTGGTTAGAATGTGGGCTGCTATGGTTGCGGGTTCCATCTGGATCAGGGCTCATATAGGAATCAACCAGTGAATGTATAAATAAGTGGGACAACATGGATATTTCTCTTCTCTTTGTCTCCTCTCTCATTCTCCCCCTTCCTCTCGCTCACTAAAATAAAATAAAATAAAAATACAAAAAAGAAGGAAAGAAAAACAAAAGTGAATGTGATTTCGTTACTCTCCTTGTGGCTGGATCTCGGAGTAATGAGGGGTGAAACAGGCAGATGTTTCGGAGTGAAAGTGTGACCCCAGGACCATTTGGAACGACTGCAAACCGAGAGAACCCTGGAAGGCTTCGGAGAGGGCACGGCCTGAGCTGGCTGTTTTACCACTGTGACATTACAAACGTGTGGAAGACTGGCATCTACCAAAGAATAGGAACAGGTTCCGAAGATTGGGACGGACTTTGGTTTGACGAGTCCTAAGACTCCAGGCACTGCCCTTCCATATCCCAGTTTTGTAGGTGCAATTTTAAAATAGAAAAGTGAAATTTGACTACATTAATATTTTTTAAATATTGTCTTGAGTGCAAAAATAGGTATTCATTTTGACTGCCCCGAACGGAAGAACCTATGAACTAAATATTGGAGTCAGGGCTTAACTCCACTGTAGAGTAGCTGAAAATGTACTTTTCTTTCTTTTCCATTTTGACTGCATCTTGATAGTTACAGATAATGTGAAGGAGCCAGTGTGGAACGTTACACTGAGTTCAGAGAACAGATTGTTTCCACATCACATATATTGAGAGTGAAGTCCTGTTTTTTTGGCTCCAGAAGGTACCTCTAATCTCTTGAAAAAATATGTCATAATTGGCACATGGACAGGAATATAACTAGAGCCATTTTTTAAAAATCTGTCATTACTTATTGGAAAAACAACTGCCACCTGTTCTATTAATGGTGAATCAAGCTGCATTGACTAATAACTGGCCAATCAGTAGAAACCACAACACTGGAAGCTGCTGAATAGTCTATTGAGATCCTCCCCTGGGAGCTCCCTAAAATTCCCACCCTGAAAAGCCTTTAGGACCTAGGACCCAGCCCGGCTTTCTCTATGAAACAATAGGCCTTTCCCCACCTCCTTCCCCTGCCCCGCACAGTTTCCTTGTCTGTCTGTCTCTCTCTCTCTCTCTCTCTCTCTCTCTCTCTCTCTCTCTCTCTCTGTCTCCCTCTCTCTTTCTCTCTCTGACTTCCTAGTAAACTTTCTCTTATAGTCTGGAGAAAAAAAAATAGTGGACCAGTAATATTTTTGTCTAGGTGGGCATGTTTTTGTACTGTTTGCTTAATGAAATCCCATAAGGCTTAGGTGTAATTACCTTTGTTAAAAATAATAGAGAGAACACATTGGTCGGGGGTGCTCAGTGGTTAGAGGGTCTGCCCACGCACCTAAAGGGCTGAGGTTCAATTCCTGGTCAAGGGCATGTACCTAGGTTGCAAATTCAATCCCTGGCCCTGGGTCCAAGCACATGACGGAGGAAACCAATCAATGTGTCCCACATCAGTGTTTCTCTCTCCCTCCGTCCTTCCCTCTCTTCCACTCTCTCTGAAAATCAGAGGGGAAAAAATATCCTCAGGTGAGGATTAACAACAACAAAAAGGTAATAGAGATTAAATGGTGAATGTTATGTTATATGAGTTATATCTCAACAATGAATAAAATAAAAAACTACTAAAGCAAAGTGATAGAACTTAATTCTAAAAATAATCCAGTTACCAAATACAAAGGAATTGAATAGACAGTTCTTCAGAACGGATATGTATGGCCAATAAGCACATGGAAAGATGTCCAGCAGGAAAATGCAAATCAAAACCACAATGAGATACCACTGCATGCTCACCAGGATGTCTATAATAAAAAGAACAATAACATGTTGGCTAGCATATGAAGAAATTGGAGCCTTTACAATTACTGGTGAAAATGTGAAATGGCCCTAGCTGGTGTGGCTCAGTTGGTTGAGTGTTGGGGTCACCAGTTTGAATCTCAGTCAGGGCACATACCCAGGTTTTGAGTTTGATCCTGGTCAGGGTGCATCTGAGAGGCAACTAGTTGATGTTTCTCTCCCCGCTCACTCTTCCTCTCTAAAAACTTTTTTTTTTAAGAAGAAAATGTAAAATGGGGTATCTTCTTTAGAAAAGAGTTTCTCAAAATGTTATACATAATGCTCAGCCAGTGAGGCTGAGTGGTTAAGCATCCAGCCTGAACCAAGAGGTTGCTGATTCGATTCCCAGTCAAGGCAAATGCCCGGGTTTTAGAAGGGGCAATGCAGGAGGCAGCATTGATGTTTCTACTTCTCCATCCCTCACCCTTCCTCTCTCTAAAATCAATACAAACATATTTAAAAAAACAACACACACGAAGTTAAGCATAAAGTTAACCATTTATTGATCTAGCAATTCCACTCCTAGTTCTCACAAGAGACTTGGATGCATATTCAGGCAAAACTGTGTAAGTAATGTTCATAGCAGCATCATTCATAATATCAATAGTTAAAAAATGGATCAACACAAATGCTCATTAACTGCTGAGTGGATAAACAGACTGTGATATATAGTGAAGTATTGTTCAGCAATAAAAAAGAATGAAGTACTGATGAATGAACCTTGAAAACATTATGCTAAGTGAAAGAAGCCTGTCACAAAAGGCCACATATTGTATGATTTCACTTATATAAAATGTCCAGAATAGACAAACGTATAGAGATAGAAAGTGGTTGCCAAGGATGGAGGACAATAGAAAGTGACTGCTAAAAGATGTGGGATTTATTTTGGGGATGATGAAAGTGTAGAATTATATACTCAATTTTATGAATATACTGAAAATCAAGCTGTATTTTTTATAAAAGTAAATTTTACGGTTACATGAATTATATCTTCAAAAAAGTGATAGGAACAGTTTTAAACAAAATTACTGGAATCTTTTTTTTAATTTTTAAATAATATATTTTCATTGGTTTCAGAGAGGAAGGGGGAGGGAGAGAGAGAGAAACATCAATGATAGGAGAGAATCACCGATCGGCCACCTCTTGCAAACCCCAACCTGGAGACCGAGTCCGAAACCAGGGCATGTGCCTCTACCGGGAACCGAACCGCTAACCTCTGGTTCATAGGTTAACACCCAACCATCGAACCACACCGGCTGGACTGAAATCTTTTTAATGATACATACTTCAGATCTGGAATAGACATGGTTTTATTAATCCTAAAGTGAAATGGTTCGTTATCAACCATTTTAATTATATTTCTTTCAACCACTGAACACATTGTCATACAAATATTTATTTTAAAAGGTGATAATGAAGATGATGCAGAAGATGAAAATAACATTGATTACAGAACTAACTCAGATGGACCATCTGCAAAACGGACAAAAACATCCTCTTAAGGATAGCTTGTATGAAATGTAAAAGACTGCTGCCATGCTTGCTTCTGCAGCCCACATACTAAAATTGGAACAATACAGAGAAGATTAGCATGACTCCTGCACAAGGATGACACACACATTTGTGAAGCGTTAAAAAAAAAAAAAAAAAAAGACTACAACTATATTAACATCTGCTTTAATTGAGAAAAGTGTTTGTTTTGTTCCCCTGGCACAGTTGTCAAAGAAAAGAACTTCTGTTTCCATCAAAGACAGACATAATAAAATAAATGTTTAGAAATGAATCTGTTTTCTTGAGTGAAGAATTTCAAACTATTGCCGAAACCGGTTTGGCTTAGCGGTAGAGCGTCGGTCTGTGGACTGAAAGGTCCCAGGTTCAATTCCAGTCAAGGGCATGTACATTGGTTGCGGGCACATCCCCAGTCGGGGGTGTGCAAGAGGCAGCTGGTCGATGTTTCTTTCTCACCGATGTTTCTAGCTCTCTATCTCTCTCCCTTCCTCTCTATAAAAAAAATCAATAAAATATATTTTTTTAAAAAAAGAATTTCAGACTATGGAAATTGTAGAGAACACTTCATAATGTGTAAAATGCTTTATGTTGGCAATTAAATTTGTATTGTTTCCTACTTTTTAAAATATATATTTTATTGATTTTTCACAGAGAGGAAGGGAGAGGGATAGTTAGAAACATCGATGAGAGAGAATCATCGACCAGCTGCCTCTGCACACCCCCTACTGGGGATGTGCTCGCAACCAAGGTACATGCCCTTGACCAGAATCGAACCTGGGACCTTTCAGTGCGCAGGCTGACACTCTATCCACTGAGCCAAACTGGTTTCGGCTGTTTCCTACTTTTTTAAAAAAGGTTTTTAAAATTGATTTTTAGAGAAATGTTGATGTGAGAGTGAAACATTGACAGGTTGCTTCTTGCATGCCCCCTAATCAGGGATGGAGTCTGAAACCCAGGCATATGCCTTGACTGGAATCGAACTGACAACCTTTCCATGCACAGGATGACACCCAATCAACTGAGCCACAATGGCCAGAGCTTTTTCTATTTTAAAAAATAATTATTGAATTAATCTGCATCTTTTAACTTCTCCTTCCGTTATAAAAAGTACATGTCACCCATCTGGTGTGGTTCTGACCTTGGCCGGGCGACACTGGTCTACCTGCCTCTTGGGCTGTTGTGGAGATTAAATGGGAAAAGGGATGAGCAAAGGTGGGGGGAGCTCAGCCTTGGCCTTGACTGCCTCCTGTCTCTCTCAATACCTCCTGTTTCTAACTGCCACCCAGCCAACAGCCCATCTCTCAACCCAAACAAAGGTTAGACTGCTCTTTGTGTGAATTAAGGTCCCCAGGCACTGTGTACACATGATGGTAACGGCAAACATTTATTGAGCACTTGCTGTGTTTCAGGTGCCACCTCATGGCATCTCACACACTGTGAGGCGGGGACGGGAGCTGCAGAATGTTCACGCCCTCATTCCAGCATCAACCCATGAACCAAGTCACTGGTTCAATTCCTAATCAGGGCACATGCCTGGGTTATGGGCTTAATCCCCAGCCAATCAATGTTTCTCTCTCATTGATGTTTCTAGCTCTCTTTTTCCCTTTCCCTCTCTAAAATCATATATTTTTTAAAAGTACATGTCATGGTTTGAAAAGTATTTCAAAGAACTGACATGAGCAAGTGATGAGATTGGGGATTGAATATAAGAATGGCAATCTGGCCCTGGCCAGGTGGTTCAATTGGTTGGAGTTGCATCCCATACCCAGTCAGGGTACATACCTCAGTTGCATGTTCACTTCCTGGTTGAGGTGCAACCAGTCAATGTATCTCTCTTTCTTTAAAAACACCAATTAAAAAATTATCCTCGGGTGAGGATTAAAAAAAAAAAGAGAATGGCAATATGTATCATAGAATTGTACACTTGAAACATATAATTTTATTAACCAATGTCACCCCAACAAACTTGATTTTAAAAAAAATAGGTCTGCTTAACTAGAAGGAAAACAGGAATAGAAGTACTGAATGAAGATAAAGAAGACCCCTTGAGAAAAATCCAAGGAAACCTTGAATCCACACTCAGACCCAATATACAGAGATGATACCATTTCAGGGACTATACAGGGAATGGCAAAAGAAGGTTGACAGTTGTGAGTGCATGAAACAGTTTATTCTTATGCTAGAGACCTGAAAGTTTATTCTTATTCTAGAGACCCGGTGCACAGCATTTGTGCGTGGGGGAGGAAGGGGTTCCTCAACCCAGCCTGCGCCCTCTCACGGTCCGGGACCCCTCGGGGGATGTCCACCTGTGGGCTTGGGCCTGCTCCCTGTCAGGCAGACATCCCCTGAGGGGTCCTTAGTGCTGCTGCAGAGGCGGGAGAGGCTCCAGTCCTGAACCTGGCTTCTGGCTGAGCGGCACGCCCCCTGTGGGAGTGCACTGACCACCAGGGGGCAGCTCCTGCATTGAGTGTCTGCCCCCTGGTAGTGCACATCAAAGCCTCTCTAAAACAGAGTAAAAAATGAAAGTAGTAAAAGAAAATGGATAATAGTTTCTATAATTTCAGAGTGAAGTTTTCCTAAGCAAGTTTTTAAAAATAGAAAAGATTAGTAAATATGATTACATAATAAAGTTTCTGAACATTCTGTAAATAAAAGAAGGTAAAAGTATTTCATATTTTCAGCACAAATGACTAAGAATTACTTCTTTTTGCCGAAACCGGTTTGGCTCAGTGGATAGAGCATCGGCCTGCGGACTGAAAGGTCCCAGGTTCAATTCTGGTCAAGGGCATGTACCAAGTAGGGTGTGTGCAAGAGGCAGCTGATCGATGATTCTCTCTCATTGATGTTTCTAACTCTCTATCCCTCTCTCTTCCTCTCTGTAAAAATCAATAAAATATATTTTTAAAAAGAATTATTTCCTTTTATGGATCTTACCTGTACCTGTCAGAAAGACAATAGAAATGGGCAAAGGAAAGGAACAGCAAGATCACAAGAAATACTCATGGCTTTTAAATGAAAATGTTCCACTTCCAATAAGTGAACATTAAAACCACAATAGAATACCTTTTTTTTTTTTTTTTTTACTTTCAAATTGAAAGATCACAAGTTTTGGTGCAAGATTGAGCTGGGAAGGATGTGAGGTCTGTAATACTTGTATATTGATGGCAAATATAAACTGATATAAGCTCTTTGAAAGTCAAGCTGACAATTGTGTTAAAATGTTAAATGTACATGTTCTTTGATTCAGCAATTTTACTTACAGAAATTTATCTTACGTATAACATCAGCAAGTGGACAGATCTGTTTACAAAACTATTCCCTGCAGCATTATTCTTAGTAACAAGAATAATAACAAGAGTGCACAACCCAAATAAATGTCCATTGGAAGGTTCTGGTTAAATATAGAATATTCATATACTAAAGCATTTGTGGGGGCACTAAAATGACCAAGGTAGAGCTCTGTGTTGTTAAGGATCAATCTCTAGGATATGATGTTAAATGTAAACTAGCAAAATATAGAACTGTGTAAAATGCTACTATTGTAGACTATTGGCTTAGATATGCTTATAGTTTCTCTGAAAGGATGGTCAACCTGCTTCTAGAGAGAGTAGGGGTCGGGAGTGAGAGGGGGATTTTTCATCATATACTCACTTTGTTCTTTTTGAATTAAAAAAATCATGTTGCATATTTTTATACACAAATACAGAAAAAGTATTGTGGAGTCTGCCGCCACCACCACCGCGGCTGCCACAGCCACCTCTGGGACAGCTGCGCTCCTGAGCATCCCCAGGGCAGCGTGTTGGAAGTTACTGACCGCTACACCCAGCCCTCACCAGATCCATCTCCACACATTCAGGGTGAGAACCCTCCAGATACCAGCTGTGCTCCATGTCTGAGAAGCTTAGTTGCCACTACTGCAAGGACTCCCTGCACGGGAAGAAGTACGTGGAGAAGGATGGCAGCCACTGCTGCCTGTGCTGCTATGACAAGTACTGCGCCAACACCTGCACCGAATGCCGCCAGACCATCGGTGCAGACGCCAAGGAGGTCCACTATAAGGAAGGCTTCTGGCATGACTACTGCTTCCGCTGCACCCATTGCCAGCGCCCCTTGGCCACCGAGACCTTTGTGGCCAAAGAGAACAAGATCCTGTGCAAAGAGTGCAACATGATTGAGAGCGCCCTCATATGCAAGGGCTGCTCAAAGCCCATTCTGGCAGGCGAACAGAACGTAGAGTACAAGGGGACCGTATGGCACCAAGACTGCTTCACCTGCAGCGACTGCAAGCAAGTCATCGGGACGGGAAGCTTCTACCCTAAAGAGGAGGAATTCTACTGCATGACTTGTTATGAGGCTAAATTTGCCAAGCGCTGCGTAAAGTGCGACAAGGCCATCATCTCTGGAGGAATCACGTACCAGGACCAGCCTTGGCATGCCGACTGCTTTGTGTGTGTCACCTGCTCAAGAAAGCTGGCCGGGCAGCGTTTCACGGCTGTGGAGGACCAGTACTACTGCGTGGATTGCTACAAGAACTATGTGGCTAAGAAGTGTGCTGGGTGCAAGAACCCCATCACTGGGTTCGGCAAGGGCTCCAGTGTAGTGACCTATGAAGGACAATCCTGGCATGACTACTGCTTCCACTGCAAAAAGTGCGCCATGAACCTGGCCAGCAAGCGCTTTGTTTTCCATCAGGAGCAAGTGTTTTGCCCTGACTGCGCCAAAAAGCTGTAAAGTGACAGGGGCTCCTGTCTCGTAAAATGGAATTGTCTTGTTTTTCTGTGTTCTCCCCCTCTGCCCTGCACTATCCATAGGGTAAGAGTGGCCTGTCACCTCTTCCAAGTTGTTCCTTCTGTCTTTCCTCCTATTTTACAGTATTACTCAAATAAGGGCACTCACATTAGGATTTAGCACAAAGCGACCCCACGGCAGAGTTAATGTTGCGATGGCTACAGTTAAAAAAAAAAAAAGAACACTTAGTTTACTTTTCTGCATATTTATCATAGAGCAGAAAAGCACCAGCCAGTTACTGCTTAGGGACGTAAGCGAGAAACCCAGGAGATAAGCCCCCACTCAAGTGCCCTTCCTGGCCCTGCGGGGACCCATCGTGTCATCACAGGACACGCAGTTGCACCCGCTACTCCAACTCCCTGTCCACCGTTCTGAGAGTAGAATGAGGACTTACCGAAATGCATGGTTTAACTTCCTCATCAAAACTTTCTTTCTGTTCTTTGTGCTTTCAATCGACTAGTACAAATTTCCAGAATACTAACATTTGAACTTAGCTGTAATTCTAAGCTGACCTTTTTCCCCGTACTAAGGCACGAGTTGCCTGTGTGCTGTTTTCTGGACATTCCTACTTCCCGGCATGGGACATGCGGGTGATGCGGGGGATACAGGCAAATTGGAGAGAACGGCCTGTTTCAAAGGAGCAGTGTCACAGTGAATTCTGGAAGCTAACAAAACTAACCCAGCTGTCCTTTTTCTCTTAATATTTTTGTTTTAGTTAATAGCATAGTTTATGGGTTTGGAGACTTGCATGAAAACACTTGAATTCTTCAAATGTTCCTAAAGTTTTGAAATCATCATACAGAAGTAACCATGAAACTCCAGGGGGGTTCGGAGCAGGTGCCAGGACTGTCATTAACACGGATGTGGCATTTCCAAACAATGGCAAGTTGAATCCCATGTGACAATACCTCTCCGCTGTTTGCGCTGTGCTAGAGGCTTGCCAGCATCCCTTCTCTGTGATTCTTCAGGTTGTTTCTCACGAGCTTAGCTCCTCAGGGAGGAGGGCCACCACCCTCACAGGAAGAACCACCTACTTACTGTATTCTCGCTGTTACATCGTCACATTACATAACGGATAGCATGAGAGGATGTCAAAATGGACATGGGAAGACAAGACATATTAACACACTCCTACAGTGGTTAGAGAAGCAGACGCATCGTTTCTACATTTTGTCATTAGCTATTATCATCTAACGTGTCAAGGTGTCCTTACGGAATAAAGCAACATATAAGTTTAAAAAAAGTTATTGTGAAACTTTCTTATGATTTTTACTTTCCAAAAGTCATGCTTTAAATTTAGTAAGGGCAAAAAAAGAACCAATCCAGATTTAAGTAAAAAATTCACCCTGCCACTGTGGCTCAGCAGTTGAGCATTGAACCAGGAACCCAGAGGTCACCGATTTGATACCCAGTCAGGGCACATGCCCGGTCCCAAGTGAGGGGCATGCAGGAGGCGGCTGATCAGGGATGTTTCTCTCTCATCAATCCTTCTCCCTTCCTTTCTCTCTAAAAGTCATTTTTTTTTTAAATCTACATTTTCCATCTGACTCCTATTTGTCAGATTAGGGAACACAAAGTGATTTCTAAAGAAGTTTGCAAAACAAAACACAACCAAAATAGAAAAATAAAAAGGTTAAGAAAACTGGACTAAATATGAGGTAGGATACCATAATAATAATATTTAAAAACAAAAAAGGTCAGAGGTGTTTCTAAAGCCAAAGTGCCTTGCCTTGAAGAAATTGCCTCCAGCCAGTACATTATTCTTAAACTATTAGCAAATTTCAGTGTAGCTGCGACTTTTCCATTCTCAGGTGACCTTTGGGATCAGAATTGCTCTATTTAAAGACATGGCCAGGAAACAGTGAAAGCTAGACAGTAAACTGCTATTTAAATCTTTTAAAAAGCAGCAGTTCACATAGGGGCCGTTGGGAATTTACTCTGGTGCCAAAATTCCTGCTGAAAATAGAGGCCACTTGTAGAAAAACATTATGAGTTTAAATAAGTGCTTTATGGGGCCACGGTATTGCCCTGAACGCCAGAACACTGTAATGTGTGTGGTAGCTCTCAGAGGTCATCATGACACTTGGTGCATGTTAGGTGGCTTTCTCAAGGCTCTAACCACCACTTAAAACATACACTTGTTTGTGAATGTGGTATGTTTTTCTCTGCATCAAGAAGGAAAACCCTGCTCTGGCCAGGTAGCTCAGTTGGTTAGAGCATCTTCCTGATACACCAACATTGAAGGTTCAATCCCTGGTCAGGGCACATATAGGAATCAACCAATGAATGCATAAATAAATGGGACAACAAACCGATGTTTTATAAAAAAAAAAAAAAAAAAGAATCCCAAGACAACCAACATAACAAGAATTGTTGGCAAAAATAAATTGGGAGACTCATTTAAAATTTTGGCCTTAAAAGAATATATCAGTCCATGCTGAAACCTGAAAGTTTAATAATTACCATATTTTCCGGCGTATAAGACGACCCCCTAACTTTACATTCAAAACATAGGTTTAGGCCTATATTCACTGTATAAGACTACCCCCCACTTCAAAGAAAAGACTTACTTTGCCGTCAAGATCTGCAGGTAATTTTTGTGCAATTTTGGTCTTTTGCCCCCGATTTTCGATTGACTTTTTTTCGTTTCAAAAGTCGTCTTATATGCCAGAAAATATGGGTATCTGCAATAGTGTCAACAACAAAAAATAGAAGTTTAGCCAAAACTGGTGTGGCTCAGTGGATAGAGCATCAGCCTGCGGACTGAAAAGTCCCGGGTTCGGTTCTTGTCAAGGGCTATCAATGATTCTTTTTTTCCTTTTTCTTTTTTTAAATATTTTATTGAATTTTTACAGAGAGGAAGAGAGAGGGATAGAGAGTTAGAAACATTGATGAGAGAGAATCATCGATCAGCTGCCTCTTGCACACCCCTCCACTGGGAATGTGCCCGCAAGGTACATGCCCTTGACCGGAATCGAACCCGGGACCTTTCAGTCTGCAGGCTGACGCTCTATCTACTGAGCCAAACCAGTTTTGGTGTGATCAATGTTTCTAACTGTCTATCCCTCTCCCTTTCTCTCTGTCAAAAAATAAATAAAATAAAATAAAATTATATATATATATATATATATATATATATATATTAGGTTTACTTTTAAAAAAGTTTAATAACAACTTATCTAGCATGTGAGAAAGATTATGCTCTGCACTTAGCAATAAATATTAACTTTAACCTTTATTCTCCTTGGAGAGTGAACTAGACTGTTTTGCAGTCTAGTGAGAGAGGTATTCAGTGACAGCACCACTCATGCAATAAATAATTACCGAGCACCTACTGCTCTAGGCACTGGGGCAGAGGGCATACAGCAGTGAACAGGCAGAATTGCTCCGCTCATGGAGTTTAGATCCTGACAAAACAAATGTCACGTGATATCATATGGTTAAGTGCTTCTGAGAAAAACAGGGAAGGGGGATGCTGGATTTTCAATTGGGTGGCGAGAGGCAGCCTCACTAAGCTGGCACTTGAGCAGAGGTCTGAAGAAGGTGATGGAGCAGGCCAGGGCCAAGCACCCAGGCGGACAGGACAGAGTGCTGAGGCCCTGAAACAGGTTTTTCTGGTGTGTTCTAGAATCAAGAAAACCAGTGTGGCTGGAGTGGAATCAGGGGCTGAGAGAGTATTAGGAACTGAAGCAAAGGTCAAGAGCCGCTTACTTATGATTGGATGACTTTGGCTTTTATTCTGAGAAGGGAAACCACAGGAGGAACTTTCAAGAGGGGTGAGAGTTTAAAAGGATCCCTTGTCAAGTGTTTGCAGCCATCTTTTTTTTTTTTTAATCAATCTTTATTGTTCATATTATTACAAAGGTTCTTCATTTCTTCCCTCCTCCACCAGGTTCCCACCTCACCCTCCTCCCCTTTCCCCTTCCCCATTGTCCTCATCCATAGGTGCACAGTTTATGTTCAGTCTCTTCCTCCCTCCCTTTCCCCGATAGTAAATCCCTTTTCAGATAGTAAATCAGTTACTTAGCATTTTCTCATATCAATAATACCTCCACATGCCCAATGATACACTTCACACAAAAGACATTTCCCAATAGGTCCACCAGCCTCATCCAGGCCCTCCCAAGGCACTCACAGATCAACACCCCAGCCCTAAACTAATTCAACACATCCAGATCTAAGCCTTCATCACTTGATTCAGCGGACCCTCAAGTTCCCACAAAAGTTTCCAGCCATGTCTGAGAGGCAGCCTTGGGGCGGGGGTAGGCGAGGAGCGAGCTGTTCCGGGCCTGGCTGCTCTGGGCCTGGCCTCTGTTGCTCTGGTCCGTTCCACAACCAGCTGCTCCGGGTCTGGCCACTGCCACTCCCGACCTGGTTGCTTTGGGCTTGGCTGCTGCTGCTCCGGGCCTGGCTGCTCCCAGCCTGGCAGCCGCTGCTCCGGGCCTGGCTGCTCCCAGCCTGGCAGCCGCTGCTCCGTGCCTGGCCGCTCCCAGCCTGGCAGCCGCTGCTCCGGGCCTGGTCACACCCAACCCGGCTGTTTTGGGCCCAGGTGCTCTGGGCCCGGCCGCTCCGGGCCTGGCAGCTGCTGCTCCGGGCCTGGCCGCTCCCAGCCTGGCAGCCGCTGCTCCAGGCCTGGCCGCACCTGACCTGGCTGCACTGGGCCCGACTGCTCTGAGCCCGGTCGCTCCGGGCCTGGCCACTCCCAGCCTGGCAGCTGCTGCTCCGGGCCTGGCCGCACCCAACCCGGCTGCTCCAGGCCTAGCCGCTCCCAGCCTGGCAGCTGCTGCTCCGGGCCTGGTTTGCAGCCATCTTGAAGGGGACTTAAGGAGCAGATTTTGGTGGGTGGAGAGATCTGCAGCTTAGATTTGGACATCTAGTAAATATCAAGTAGGCAGTTGGATATTCAAATCCTCGGCTCAGGAAAGAAAGAGACAAGGTAGTAA